GAATATTCAAGTTTACTATAGGATAAATATATTTGCCACTCAAACCTGGACTTAACGAAGCTAAAAGATGGCACTGATTACATGCTTACTGTGCTAAGCAGGAATTATTATTAAATTACTCGACAGAAAAGACATGACAGCGGCTGACGCAGTTTCTGACTATGAACTTTCCATTCTTCTAAGATAGTATTCTAATTGCATAAATAGCGAATATGTACAATGGAAAACTTCTAATCTATGAATTGAGGGGGAAAAGAAACTCTGCATTACCTTCTCAATAAAAGAACGAACCATGTTTTCAATGTCTTGAACGATACTCTCTGGCTGCCCCTCTGTCAATAAGAAACATTTACAATTAGATATTCAATAAATGAAAAATATATAACATCAAAACCACCATTTTAATTTGGAATCAATGGCAATAAGTACAAAAGTTACCTACAGCAACCTTGGTTAAACCAGGCAAATCTATCAATGTTAGATTGACAACTGCCAAAAAGATAAGCTGTGATTGTCAGATAGCAGAATGAATTACAGAGCAATAATGAAACACTTTCATTTATCAAGGAAAATAAAAAAATTCTTCTTGGCCTTGCACAATTTAGGATATCAAAGTCACACTTTTCACCTAGTATAAGTCATACTCATCAAATAGAATGAAAATTCTGTTAATATATATATATAAAAAATACACTCTAGATCTGCAATCTCAAATGATGCTGCCAATAGATAACATGCACCAAAACAGAACAAAGAATATAATAGTGCTTCATAATCACATCTAATCAAATATATAACATGTTACCATTAGGGGAGTAGATACTGAGATGAATAGGAACATGAGAAATCTGTTTCGACCTCCCAGTGATTCTGTCAGTTTCATCCTGAATTTCCTTCCGAATCACAGCTGTTTAAGAAAATAAGAAATAAACAACTGAATATAATATCAACTTTTATTTCAAACCGTACGAAAAGGGCAAACAATTGCACAGTTTTTCTAAATTTGATAGGTCCATTAATTTTAGAATACATGTTCAAGCATTACGCGATTCAAATGCAAAATTAACCAAATAGAAAAGATAAAACATGATAAGAGGCTATTCAAAAGTACAAGTAATGTAACAAAATTGGTGATTGGCATGATGTCAGTATCTTCCTGTAGATAATCAAGTTCTTGTTTTATCACTCATACCGAGTTAACAAACACCCTTTTTTTTTCCATGACAATCTACTATTCGAATTACATGTAGGAAATGGTCCCAAAACGCTACTCAAACTAGGAGCCTAAATGTATGGTCATAACAGGAGCTCCATCCATAGCAAACAGAAATATAACATTAACAGGAGCTCCATCCATAGCATATCTGGACAACAAATAACATACAGAAATCAGTGAATCTTTTCTTTTCTATGTGGAGGAACTCAGCATACTCCTGCATCCCCTGTTCTGTCTTATGCAGCTGCAAGACCAATGGTCTTCTCGTCACAATCCCTGCAAACCAAAGAACATAACAGCTTCATGTACTTGACAACGAAGAGGGAGCAAAGTAAAGCATAAATTAGTTTTGAAGCCTTTAGTGTTCCTTGTGTATATTCTAAGGAAAAAACAAATTCAAACATCAAACATACAATTTTAAATTGCTTAGTTTCACTTCGTTGACTTTTATTTTTCTTATGTTGACAAATACCTGACTTTTCTTTTAACATTTTATTTTTTGTTTCATTTTCTTGCCTCTGCTTTCTCAAGACCCAAAAAGCGCAAAATTGAAAATTAACAATCAGCAGAGCAAACCTTCAGAGTGGCCGTGTGATATTCTAATCAAAAGTTAAATTTAAACCATAATTTAAGCAATTTTAAATTGCTTACTTTGACTCAGTTGACTATTACTCCTCTAAGTTGAAGAAAAGTAGTTGACTTGTTCTAATATTATTTTGTTTTCCTTTTCGTTTTCTTTCCTCCGCTTTCTCAAGAGCCAAAAAGCGAAAAATTGAAAATCAATAATCAGAAAGCTAATATACGATTCACCAAGGCATAAACCTAACCTGATCCTCTCGGAAGAAAATCACGCCCAACAATGCTCTCTAACACCGACGACTTTCCAGAGCTCTGCATCCACAACCAAACACACCACTCCAACTTCACATAGCCAAACAACAACAAAAAAAAACGACTGAGCGAGTGCGTAGAGAGACGAGAGAGAGACCTGGCCTCCGACGACGGCAACGGAAGGAAGAGACTCCCAGAGAGTAGGCAAAGCAGAGTCCCCGCCATAGTCACCGAGGACCGTGCAGGCCCTCTGAATTCGATTGACGAGGCCTATCAAGCCCTCCATGGTCGCCATTTGAGGAAGCGCCGAAGCAGCGGCGGTTGGGGGAGCGAGAGAGACGACGAAAACGCACGCAGCGAGAGTGAGAGAGAGGGCGAGGTAGAAGAAGGCGGTGGTGATGAAGAGGAAAGCTATTTTTGCTAATTTTGTTGGAAATAAATGAATTTATGCAAATTGGGAAATTTATTGATGGATTGATCTTCCGTTTTTGGAAGAGACAGTGAGTGAGTTGGTGGTGAGTGGTTTGTTCGTGTGTGGCAAGTTCTCTTTCCCTTGACTTATTTTGAATTCAGTCAATGCATTTTCTTTTTCCTTTCCCCGGTTCGCTGAGGTGTTTTATGCTTATTTTAGATTCGTTTTATCTTTTAGGACTTTTTCCTAAAATTTGTCGTTTCCTTTTACGTCTATATCTTTGTAGAGGAATTCTATTGCTATCCTATCCAAGAGCGGTTTTTTGACACGAACCAAAATAACTTATATGTAACGGGGATAATATTGTTTGTTATCCTCAACCAATAAGATAATGACACATAAAAAAATTATTCTACAATTGACAATATGCGATCTGCAAGCTATTATTCCCAATATTAGTTGACTAGATTTTATCAGTTTCTAATTATTTACACATATGGTGGTGTCATTATGTCGTGTCAAATATTGGTACTCTTAGCTTCAATCACTAGAGGAGAGAGAGAGAAAGATAGAAAGAGGGGCAGTGACACCTGAGCAGTGAATCCTCCTTCAACCCAAGTTGCGCGGGCAACCAAATCCAACCTCAGCCCTAAATCTGAACCATATTTTTTTCTCCAACTTCATTATTCTCTATGTAAATTTCAAAGACCTAACCATTTTACAATCATTTCAGAATACTAAATTTTACAATCAATCTCTCTTCTTATAATACCCTTCTTCCCCAACCACAATATTAGAATCAACCATTGGATAATTAATGGATTTAATGTGTGTGATGTTTGGGCCATTACTTACGTAACGATAATCGTGGCATGTGATTAAGCCTGATTAGTTAGGTGTCTTTAACCCATGTGTAGACTATGTTGGAACTTTCTATTTGTGACCTGATTGCTCTATTAGAGCACCTCCAGCGCTCCCAATTTGCCCGGGCAGGAGGGGGCATAGGGCCAGGGCTTGGTCTCGAGCGCGCAACAGAAGACTAGGCAGCTTATGGGCTCCACAAGCCTGGGCAGACTCAAAGGCAAATCTTGTTTGGGCTATTGCCTGGGTTCAGCAACAAAAAAATAAAATAAAATATTTTAAAATACCAAAAATTTCAGATTTAAAAAATAAATAAATATCTAGTCATATTCTTCACTTCCCACACCAAAATTAATGGTTTAAGTATTAAAAAAAATAGAAAATAAATTAAAGTGAATAGTAATTGCCCTTGCATTTTGGGGTGGAAACAAAAAAAGGCAAGGACTGCTACTATTCATGTGAATAGTGACAAACCTTGCCTTACCTTTTGTCTTGCCCTTACCTTTTAGGGTGGAGGTGCTCTTATAATGGCAAATGCACCAAACATTGTTGTCCTTTCATAATCTATGCGTGTTTATGTTCAGATCCCTATCTCGCATATGTTTATGTTATTGTCCACATGTAATTATATCATTGTGTGTGAAATCTTGCTTCCACACTGAACATACTAAAACTCAAGTTTGGCTTGTTTTATTAAACCGAGGACAACTTGACTTGTTTCTAATACGAGCAGAGAGCCAAATCCAAACCAAGTTTGAGCCCGATATTAGATCAAAACTCAAACTGTAAGAGATTCCAAAATCGAATGAAAGCTACTATAATAACATGGGAGTGAGTAGTTGCAAAGTTAATCTTAAATAGGGTCGACATTTTCGCCAGCCTAACCAGACCCAAAATTAAAATGGGGCCTTTTTTTTTTGTCGAAATTGCAATTCATTGCAAACCCAAGGGGTAGAGAACAGTACAATCAAAGCCAAGCAAAAGCACCGGCCATAAAACTAGAAAACAAACATGAACAAATCTAACTAAAACCAATACAGTATAGCATAAAGATCATGTTCCTGAGCCGAACCTAAAACGTCAAAAGCCGACAAAAAGGCATTTACACATTGAGTTATTTGCGGTTGCTCCAATTTACACATGCCTGAACCTGATACGACTAATTATCCACCTACATCCCAACAAATTGATCTTTATCCGTTTACAATTTGTTTGTCACACCAAACAGTACGAAACATGTGCAGCTACAAGAGCAAAAGCCGAAAAGGCATCGCCAGACACAAGTACGAAACATGTGATATGTGACTCTCGGTAATATCGCCTGTAGTCCTATAAATACCCATCTCATAGTAGCCCATCGACTCACCCTACAATACAAGCTGCCCGCCGCATCGGAGAAGTGGAGGCGTTGCGTTTGAGAGTCTCGACCTGTCGTGCCCTAGCACGTCCTCTTCTGCGTGACAGGTAGTATCTTTGGCTCTCTGTGCTACCATCATTTCCCACCAAACCCTAGCTAGCTTCATTTATCTCTCTCCCTTCCATCAAACCCTAGCTTCACATATCTCTCCCTGCTAGCAAACCCTAGCTAGTTTCATATATCTCTCCCTGGAATTAAGATGATTCATGTTTGTGTGTGTGTGTGTGTGTCAAAAAGTGTATGGCCAACAAAAATCTGACCTCATGATATATATCTTGAGCAGATCTGGTTGGATACTCTCATTTTCATCATAATCTTCTCTCTTCTCTCTCATATATATATATATATATATATATGTATTTATACCTTAATTGATTTGTCCTGAAAGGAGACTTCGCAAGCATGGAGGGGACTCCGAAAGACACCGTCAGTAGGTACAAGATCATGAACGGAAGAAAGTCCAAACAGAAATTGTTAGTTCAAGAGGCTGTATTAAGCATCAATGTTATCGAATTAGTGATTCACCAGATAATTAGGTATTACATAAACTGTTGATTAAGAAACTAGTGTCTATATATACATGATCCTCTTAATCTTTTTCTCTCTAATCTATAACGTTGAATTCTTTTTCGATGTACTTATGACCAATTGCTTATTTTTTTTTCTTTTAGCTTTATCAGAACTAAGGTTTGGATAGAGACCAATATTGGCAGACACATTGGAATAAATGTGTGCTGTGTATTATACAACCTTGGTGAGAAAAAAATTCATTATTTAATTTTTATTTTTTTTTCCCTTTTTTTTTTTTTTTTTTTTTTTTTTTTTTTTTTTTTTTTTTTTTTCTAACTTATGTGTGTGAAGAACCATTTACCACCAAATTCAAGAGATTATGTGTTGAAATGATTGTAAAATCTTTCGTTTTCAGGTCATGCTTCTCTCGGATAGATTTCAAAGGTAAAAATACTGCTATCCTAGAGAAGGACGATGAAATCATCTCTGCAGCATCTATAAGGTATTATTCGTCACGTGTTTGTCCCAAACACTATATATATATATATATATATATATATATATATATATATTGGTATATAACTATTTCATTATAAATAAGAAATGCTTCTTTTCCTGCTAACTAGTCGAAAGGTATGAAAGATCTCCTCCAAGCCGTACATACGACTTTCATCGAATACGACTTTCCACAGAATTCTATATGTATCTATGAGATTGAGTATGAAATTTTGTTTACTCACTTTAAATTGCCTCTTTTTTCAATGTACAGAATACATGGAACAAGGATGGCAGAGATGCCATTTGTGGCAACCCCAACTGAAGTTTGGGAGAAAAGGATTGCTTCAAAAGCCGTAACTAGATGCCATTGAATCTATAACAATTTACATGTAAGTGTTTCTAAGCATAGACATTGGACTATAAAATAAAATTGAAAAGCCTCACTATTACTAATCTTTTCTGAAAATCTTATTATTTGTTTTGTAAAACTTGCAATATTCTATGTTGGTATGTGCTTAGCATGGCGAAAATAACATCTTCAGGTCTCCATTTAATCATCTTCCTAATCTAAACCATATACACCAAACCATAAATTGCTGACCGCAAGCCCTAAAATAATATCGGTTTAGCCTAAGCATAGTCTAACCTCGAAAATTATGCATATGACCCTATTTCTCATTTTCACCTCTCATAATTATGTTTGTATATTTCATTGGCGTTCTAGTGAAGACCTAATTGAAGATGATTTATCAGAACTTGCATCTCAACTATTAGATCAAATATATTCTTATTTATATATCTTAGTGGTTTCAAATATATATGTCCTTATCCATTGTACATCAATAATATGTGGAAAGATATCACATATATTATGGTGATATGTATCGAGATATTGATGCATATAACCATTAGTGTGTCGATATATCACATATATTATGGCGATATGTATCGAGATATACTATTTTGTGCAATTTACATGTTTATCAATGCATTCTTACTAGTTTTTGTTTCTATCAATTTTCTCAAAGTTCTTTGTAAAAAAAAATTGCCAAAGTTTCCATCATATTGATATTTAACTTATTTATTTCAACAGAAGACAAGCTGATTTGTGAGTGTGACTCTAAAACTGAAAGCAACGGAAGAACTAGTTTTTATAATCAGAGTATACAAGCAGGCCCCCTAGAAGACAAGCGTATGAAATATTCACAAACAGGAACTTGGTTGAACTGAGCAAATGGCATAAGTGTGGGGCAGCTGCAAGCTCAAGTAGGAATTGGCAATTCGTAAGGCGAAAACGATGCCGCCCTCCTAAGAATGTGGCTAATGAAGGCAAACACATAACATCAGTATTTGTCTCAAGTAATCTTGTCAATATTCCAAAACAGGAATAAGATTACGTTGATCAAATGGCTCTACTTGGAGCAGCTGCAAACTCAAATGGATATTGCTAAAGCAAAAATGGTTCGTCCCCTAAAAAGACAAGCGAACAAGAATGATGTCCTTGATCGAATGGCTGAATGAAGTGGGGGCAGCAAGCTCAACTGGGAATTTGCAATTGGTAAAGCAAAAGGGGGTTATCCTCCTAAAAATATTTATGTAATTGTATAACAATTCCTTGCATGTAAATATTTCTAGGCGTGGACATGTTATTATAAAGTTAAAAAAAAATATTGGCTCCCGACATCTAAACTTTTCTTTCTTTGAATTCTATGTTGGCGTTGTGGTTAACATGGTGAAAGTAGCGCCATTTCCAGTCTTCGTTAAATTTATCTTGCTAATCTAACCATAGGCACTAATCTAAACCCTAGATTCTTGACCATAAACCATTAAACATCGACGCTTTTATTCCATGATATATATGAAGATCCCTACGAAGACCTCAAAACAATGCCCTAGATTTGTAAACCTTCCTTTACTATAACTTTGGAACAAAGGCTAAGGGGAAAGGCCATCAATGTTACGAAATGCAACAACACTTTAGGAACCCAATAGCGACCGATGACACTGCAAAGCTTTCTCAGTCTGCAAAACCAATAGCGACTTATAGACTGCAACCCTTTCTCAATCTGCTTGAGAATCTTTCTACGGGTTTCAAAATAGGATAAGAAAAAAGGCAATCAGATTTCATCATGATCATGGGACTGGAAATAAAGTGACGTATTTGAATAGGTGCTTGCCCCATTGCACGTGAGTTCAAACTCCCTCCACCACGTACATTACAATAGTTTAGAATAAGACTATTTTAACAACAACAACAAAAAAGGTTTCATTTTTCTTTTCACTAGTAATAGTGACGTGTCAGTTTTTTAGCCTTATGTTATATTGTTACAATCAATGTGGCAGCCTTATATTACAAGTCAAATATATCTTAGCAGAGAAAATTCAAGAAAAGACTTCCAATCCCATTGAAGAATGGGTTCAAGGCCACTTAATATCTGTAAGCTTAATTTACGTGAATAACTATAAGCACCATAATCATGTAGTGCTTTACTCCCAATCAACACCATTAAAAACAGTGTGAGTTATTGCTTACTAAGTTCATAGAAATGGGTAATTTGGTTAATAAGTTAGTCTAAAATAAATCTACAGTGAAAGAAAATGATTTATGGTGTGTGAATCGTTATAGGGGAAGGATTATCTCTCCTCTTATCCAAGTAAAGTGCTAGCCCACGACTCACATTAATCTTCACATTAAATTTTGTAAATCTTCCTTGTTTGTTCATTACTTTCACTAGATTATGCAAATATGACAACTAAGCAAGCCAGAATTGGAACTTGTCCTAATGTCCCCATGTTTGTAGTTGTTCTCATGGTTGATAGTTTGGCTGAAGTGTCTGTTGCTTCAGACCTATGTCTTGTTGTGGCCTGAAATAGAGAAGTACCGAGAGTCTGTGTTTGCTCTGTTCTTTCTCATTCTATTTGATTGTGTCTTGGACCAGTTTTTAAGGGCCTTCGATGGCTTCAAAGTCTTAGAGCTTCCTTACAAACAAGGCGAAAGACAAGTCTCAGCATTTCTCCATGTACTTGATTCTTCCTGATGCAAAAGATGGGCAGTCATATTTGAATTAAAAAGTTTGTTCCAGTCTGAATTCTTAGCTCAACATCATCCATACAATAAAGTTGGAAGTGGATGACTTTAAAATCTCAGGGTTTACACTTTTCTTCTAACTTGGAAGCATCCAAAATTCTCAAGGATTTCGAACTGGTGATGATGCATTTCACCAGGAATTTGACAGAGATGTTTGAGTCGAAGATGCTCCAGAAATCCTGCGTTGAAGTTAATGAAGGAGGCACTGAAGCTGCAGTTGTAGCTGCCACAATTCTAACGCGGAGTTGTCTTTCTCGTCCTCATCAGATAAAAATTTACTGGTGTTCAATCTGCCTGCATGCTGATTTATTGAGTGTTGTGTTCATGACCCGGGAGCTTCGCATGAAAACAAAGCAAGCTAGACGTGTATGATGAATTCCCAAATCTTTAACTTGCATTCTGGACGATTTAGTTTTATTCTATGTTTTTTTTTCTTCAAACAAATTAATAGGAAAGATCCATCAGTTATTCTGCATCTTCACACCCGATCAATCGTCATGGTTCACTCTTATTTTTCTTTTCTTTCTGCAATTAGCAAATATTCTTTATCTTCTCAAAGAAAAAAATACTTGTCCAAATCCAGTATAAAGCAGATGATTCTATAATGACAGAGAAACAGCATGCTTCAGAAGCTAACATCACATCAAACCCATGGAGGGATGATGCATCAGGGCATCAATAAGTTCATGCTCCTGAAACAGTCTGATGAATTCTCATTGAAAATCGGCTTCTAACTAAGTGTAGTTGACTATGAATTCTCATTGAAATCTCAAATCAATAAACCTCTAGGGAAGTCCCTGAAATTTAATTGTCATTACTTTCTTTTGCCTTCGATTCTGAGACATCTCGATAATTCTGATAGATATAGGAAAGAAAGCCCCAGATTGCCAACAACATCGCCATCACCTTCACCCCGTCCATCTTATCGTGGAAAAATATTACAGCAAGAATGGGAACAAGAGGCAGAGCCAAAGTACTGATGACATTGGAGAACAGAGAAGACACTTCAAAAATCAACCCCAACAAACCCACAGAGGAAATTTGCCATGTCACAGCAGTCCAAAACAGAGTCATTATATAAGAGACCCTTCCTTGCTTGTATTCCTTCATCTCACTTTCCAAACCCTTCCATTCCCCACTGGCAAAAAGTCCAACTACACAACCACATGTTGCAAAAAATGATGGGTATATTTGCATGTTCAAAACAGTCGAAAATGTCTCCGATTTTATAACCTTCTGGAACGAAAGTTGTACCAGGGAAAGGTACAATGAGTAAGTAGCAGAGGCACCAAGTGTGCATAGGAAACCAGTCACATACTTTCTTTTGGGGATATTATTGGTATTGTTTTCGGAGTCTGCATTGATTGCGAGAAGCGATGCAGACATGGTAACAAGAACTAAAGAGTTGAGGATAAAAGGAGTGAACTTTTGGGAATTAAGAAAGAAGGAGAAAAATGCATTGAAGGCCAATTGAGTTGCACATAGTAAAGAGTAAGTGGAGACTGGGAGATACAGAAGGCCATAGGAATACATCATGTTGTCTCCGGTCAAGAGTAGACCGAACGCGAGGTAGAGCAAGGCAAGAGTAGAGAGCTTTGGTATTTTGGTTGCAGAGGAAGTAGTGGTGTGAACAGGGTTTGTGGTTAACTTGGTTGATGATGGGAAAAAACAGAGGAGAGGAAGAAGAATTGGGAAGCCTGCTGATTGAACAAACGTTGCCATCCATTTGCTATTGCCACCTTTGTCGTAGTATAGTCTTCCCAAGAGGGTGGCTGCAGATTGGCCTGTGAGAAGAAAGAGGATGTAGATGATCACCCGAAGCCACCACCTGTAATTGGGAAGCTTTGGCCCGTTGGGAGAAGAATGTAGGCCGGTTTCTCTAGGTGAATCTGGTCTCTGGTTCTCAACTGGTTAAAAGAACACATGTACATTATACATAGTAGGTATTGGAAAACTATTTGAACACAATTTATCAAACACTTGATGAACATAGACAATATCATAATTACTGCGGAAAGCTCAATCAGCCTAGGCATGCTGACGAAAATCGAAAATCGTCTTTTTAAGCAAACTAACCTCTGGATTGCAGTTCCAGCTCTTGGGTGTTCATCTTCAAGATTCAAAGAATGAAAAACAATAATTTAGCTGATGAAGGTTGTTACACCGTGGAGGCATGGACTGGCTTGGCTAAGATTTTATCTCACGTTTGTTTCACCCGGTTCTAATTTTAAGTGACCAACCCCACCCATGCTCCCCACAACCACCGACCCCCAAAGCGGCAGCCACAACCAGCAGCCACACACCACCAGACACGACCACCAGACACAACCACCCAAGAAGGAGAAGACAAAATAGAGAGAGAAGAAGAGAAGAGAGAATTTTTGAAAAAAAAAAAAAAAAAAAAAAAAAAAAAAAAAAAGAGAGGAGAAGACAGAATAGAAGAGGAAGTAGAGAAAATTTCTGAAAATAAATAAATAAAGAGAAAAGTAGACAGAAGAAGAGGAAAGAAGATGGAGAAGAAGAAGAAGAGAAGCAGAGATAAATAATAGGAAGAAGAGGAGGAAGAGGAAAGAGAGAGAAGAAAAGTCAAAAGATTTAGTTTTAGTCCAATCAAACATATAAACTAACGCAGCCAAACCAATTTAAGACCACCCCATAAAGTCTTAGACCGTCATATGCCATATCCATATATAACACTACTGTTAAAATGGTCAAAACTGGCTAGCTTTAAGTCTAAATTAGAAACTAAAGTCCAAATGGTGTAACATTCGTGTAAGTAACAAAGTCTTACAGATCAAGAACAATGTGAACGGAGTTGTATTATTCATTCTCTCATGTTCATGGTGTCAAGCGGGTACTTCCATGTCACGTGCATATATATATCGACATCATTCATATGTAACGCATGACATATTTTAACTCGGCTCTAAATTATACAGAATTTCCGTTGTTTTATGCAAATTTAATATCTATAATGTTTAAAGAAGCATGTGGATATACAAAAAGGTTTTAAGTTGCAATACTGGCTTGAATGTTATGTTTTAATTGCCTTGCTGCTTATGTTGATGTTTTGGCTTTCGGATTTTACTGGTTTTTGCTTTTATTTTCTCATATTCATTGAAAGAATTTTTCTGATTGCTACCGAAGCTTCATGTAGATTTATTTCATCCTCTTTAATAAAAATGACAACAAAGAACAGTAATCTTCATAGAGGTTTATCCTTGTCGGCATTTATTTTGTCCATTGAAAATAATTTCAGTGCCGGTAATCATAGTAATTAATTTTTGTATTAGAAATATAAATAAAATTGGCAGATAATATTTGTAGCTAATCAAAGGAAAAAAAATATATAAGAGACAAAAGAGCCAAAGTGTAGAAATTAGTAGAATAATCTAAAAAGATAATTCCGGTGCCAGGAGTTGAACCTGGGATCTCAACCTTAGATAATTTAATGAGCTACACCGGATGCTGTTGTTAATTTGGGTATACTAATCTATTTATATCCTAATCTAAAGAAAAAAAAAAAAAAAATCAAAACTAGCGAACTACACAAATTAGTAAATTAATCTATTTATACATAGACTTTAGAACCCTTGTGATGCATATTTCTTTGGCTTGCCACCTTCCCCAAAATTTGGTTCCAATTTTACTTGTGCATGCATATCCTTACACTCATTGACCTCCTCATGGACCAAACATCTTTTGCCTTCAAAATGTTTTCTTTCACAAACCTACTCCAACCCCTTGTGTACACAGAAGCTTTACTCACTCCTCCAACGGTAATGTCTATTTCACACCTTCATAAAGGGACACTTCGTCACTTCATAACGGTAAAAACCTTCATAAAGGGACTAAACTTAAAAGTCTTCAAACCGTTTTAAATCTTTTTAATAAATTTTTTTTTTTTTTTTTTTTTTTTTTTTTTTTTTTTCAATTTTGTGGCGGTTTATAGTAGTATGGCTATGCTAAGGTTGGATTAAGCATATTAGGTAATTTATTATCTTTGCATGATATATATGGTTCCTTCCCTTGATCCAGGAAGTAGGTCAGATCCTTGGTAAGGAGTGATCAACAAAGTACTATAATCGATCATAATTGAGTGGTATAATGCACTAGGTGGGGAAGACGAGATAAATATTGACCTAGTACGTATATGATCTTCTCCTATAAGGTATGATATCATGGAAACCCTAACGTAATCCTTTAGCAACCACCACACCCTACAAAATTTGAAGACATGGGCAAGGGCTTATAGCTCAAGTAATTAAGAACATTTACCCATACATTCAAAGTCATAAGTTTGATTCGTTTTTCCCAATATATGTCTTTAAAAAAAAATTCATTAAAAAATAAAAAATGAAAAACCTTGAAGACATGGGGTATGTCCTCAACTTATACATATATTCTGACTGAAGGAATAATATAGTTTGAGATTTGGATAAATCACTCCACACAAAAAATAGTAGTTAGAAAGCTCAAGTTCCAAGTTTAATTAACTACTTTCATTTTACAAAGTCTATGCACTTGTTATTGAAGAATAATTATGCTAAGCGTTCAACCGATGAAAATCTCCATCTAGTTGAAGGTTCTTTCAATTCTACCAATAGCCTGGTGTGCTCTAAAAGGGTCGTGAGTTCAAGTCTCCATGATACCCGTGTGTGTAAGTTTTCCCTCTTTTTTTTCTAATTTTGGCAACAAAAAAATATTTAATTCTTAAAATTACTATATCTCATAAAAGAGTGATTAATGTAATTAAGCTTATTACGGCCAATGGCGACCATGTCATGTGTTGAACTCCTCACCTTTTACATTATTTCTTAACCTTATCACAGAAGATATTGTCAGCCAAAAATTCCTTGCATGTATGTAGCAACTTCTTTTTCTCACCAATGCCCCAAATGAGTGTTTGCTGGCACTGTTCAGTTCTTGGCAGCGAGTGAACTCTCAATTAATCCAATTGAAAGTTGGATCAAGCTTGAATGGGAGAAACGGCCCCATCGTGATCTTTTGCGTACGCATGCCACTATTGGAACTGAACTGTCTACAACCCAATAGAAATAATGGGTATTTGTGTTGTGTGATGAATTTGCACTGCTCTTTACTCATAGTCAAGTCATTGAGCTCTGAGGGGGTAGCTCAGATAAGTTCTTTTCTTTGCCTCAATTAAGAGGACTTCAACATTCTTTTATTCACATGTAAATGATGTGGTAGATACATGAGGTACGTAGCCCAACATAAAAACAAAATTCGTGATCAGTGAATCTTAGATTTGTGCTCAAAAACCTAGATTGATCTAGGCCTAATCGAATTAAATTTGGACCCAAAAATATTATTCAGACTAAGAAAAACCATTGATTAGGCTTGAGAAAATCCTGTTTCAGGGTGAGACACCCTAATTCGGCAATGCTCTTTATGATGAATATTACTGCTCTTAATTTATAATTCAAACCAAATACTCAAAGTAAAGTGCTGATAATTGTAAATGACTTGAAGTATAAATAACATTAAATTTAAACACTCAAAACTAAAGATTTCTCAATTAAATTTTGGTACGATATAAAAGAAAGCAAGCTAAAGATTTCTCAATTCAGCCTGGAATAAACATGTTGAAATGAAATGAAGATTGGAGATTTCTCAATCCAGTCTAATACAAGTGTTTAGCTATTTGAAAGGTGCTGGCCTTTTTACTGATAATTCATACCAAGAATTTTGCAGAGCAATAAAGAAGATGATTGCATGAGTTATCAACTAGATTATCTTGAGAGTGAGGGTAATTAAATTGAGAGTTCAATTTGAGATCAATGGTTTCATTGAGTTTGAAGTCTGTTGTTGGAAAGAGAATCCCTTTCCTTGAACAATTCTGCCTCTATTTATAGACTTAGTGCCCGGAGATGATGATGAATAGGTGGTGAGACTCTGGGCTCACGAACCTTCATTAAGAATATTGTCTTCTTACTAATTAATCTTAAGTGGGAAGAGAAAAGCACTGGTAGAGGATAGAGCACCACTGAATCTATTTAAACATTGTTTAAGCTCTTGATCGGCCTCAATTGTCTTGATTTTTAATTTGGCTCTAAGGGTTAGTTTGGCATTGATGTGCTGTGAAAATAATCATTATCAGATTTGCTGTGAGAGAAATTAGTAGTGAGAGAAAGCAGTTTGGCGTTTGGTAAACTTTTTGTTAAAAGTGTTGTTCGTACTGATTCTCATATAATCAGAAAATAATTGCCGCATAATCATTAAACCCAGCGCCTCTTTTAAACTAATTCCTACATAATTAGAAAATGAAAGCACCTCATTAGCTGCTTCTTATAGCTTTTTCTCACAGCAATTTTTAACAATAAGTGATTTTCTCATAGTTTACCAAACGGACTGGACTTCCCAATTTTTTTTAAAAAATCACTTATCACCCCAAATCAGTAATGTCAAACGTGCACTAAACAAATAGCTTATTTTAGTCTTTCGCCCAATTGGCATGTGCCACCTGTAAAAAAGAGCGTTATCTTTTGGCCTTGCAGTGGGTCAAAATCATATATTAATATGAAAAATGGGCTCAATAATTGGTCCAAGTTGTTACCCAATTATAGAATAAAAAGCCCTATTTGATGAAAATATAATAGGCTATTATATTTCATCAAATAGGGCTTTTTATTCATTAGGCCTTCCAGACCAAAACATAATAATTGGTTGGGCCTAAGACCCTTGAGATAACAAAGCAAATCCTATTGTGGAAGTCAGCTTCCTTCTCAACATCTTTGCAGTCTCCACCAAAATACAATCCCATACAAAATACAACTATTTTTATTTTACTTTTCTATTTATGAATAAAATTTTTTTTTTTTTTTTTTTTTTTTTTTTTCCTCCAACCTTGTAAACTCATAATTTGAGTCCGCAACTTTATTAAATTATTTAAGAATGATTAACCCCTAATTTTTTTTTTGTCGTTAATTTTTCTTGACAGTATTTTTGTTTCAACCTTTGTAATTTAATTTTCTAAACATTTTAATCTAAAAAAATTGAAATTCCATAAACATAACATTTTTTTCACTTAAAATGAAAATGAGAATGCCATTTGTAGAGTTTGAGAGTGGGATCTCATTTAGATAAATTAAAAATATTATTTTAACCATTTGATTTTAATTTCGACCATTGGATTTTCTTTTTCTCGTTAAAATCAAATTGAAAAAAATATGGGTGGTTTATATCTATTTGACAGAGCTTGAAAAATCACAAAAATTTGGTTCCCATTGCTTTTAAAGGCTCCAAAAGATTAGATAAAGAATTTTAAAAAAACAAGAAGATGCATCATTGGTTTTTCAAAGGGAGCCGTTGGATTCCAATGTCCCTTTGATGTGAGCCTTCCACGCGTCCAGCAAGTTGGATCTGTCCTGCCATTCCTTCACATGCTGCGCAAGTTGGCTTTGACTTGGGGCCTACAGAAATTTCACCCAAACTGCTAAGTTGGGCCAAATTCCGCCCAAGATTTCAGTCTGACCTAAATTACCACTCCTTTTTATACATGGTTGGAGAAGGTTTTTGAGGCTATAATCCTAAAATTTGGGTTTTGCCCTCATAATTGGAGATGGTCTTATGAGCTGCTGCTCCTCAGTTGGAATCACTAAAAATATTCCTAAATGTGAAGCTTGGTCAACATTGAAGTTGAACCCAAATTTGGAATCAGCAAAAATTCTTTTCCTTTGTCATGTTACTTTCCCTTGCGGGGACACTAGAGGCATGAAAACATCCGATTTGTTCTACCGATGAAGAATGAACCAGCTTCTCCCTAGCTAGTACTGGGGTTGCCTGATGATGAGACTAGGAATTTGGAACCATTTAGTTGTGGTCATGGACTCATGGGTTGTGCTTGTCTTGGTGAAGATGATGAGATTGAGAATATTAGGTTTTTATATGAGAGGTGGGTTCAGCCATCCCCAATTTGCAAAGCACCTTCAGTTTCTCCGTTGATGAGAAAGTGGAGAATTGAATTTGTGCTAAAAGTCGTTTTTACCCTTAGCAGAACACCATGCTTAGAATTAATAAAAAAAACACTTTAAGAACCGACGGCAGGACTAACATTGCTAACAGAAGTGGAGTTGGAAGACTACCATAACCATTTTGTGAATTGAGGGACGAAAATACAAATTGAGTGTAAATTTAGGGATCATTAGTCCTAAAAAGCCTTATTTGTAAATCTATAATGGGATAGAGGGATTGATTTTTTAAGTTGTCAAGAATGACATGCAAGGTATGAAATATTCATATATTTAGTAGAAGCATGCCATTTGTAATATCTACAACTTTTATAATTATTTGCATTTGCTACATGAGGATAATGTGATTCATAGAATAGTCCATTTGCCATATTCACATTCGCCCCCCCGATTATGGATATATACATTTTCTTTTACACTGTGAGCAATACATTTCCCAAAATCTATAACTTCTAAAGTTATAACCGTTCGATGAATGTGGATGACATGATTGATTTTGTGGTTGCCTTTCTAAATATAGGTAGCATTTATAAAGTTAGCTAGCTTAACTGGTAGATTACTTCAGACCTTTATACAGTACAGGTACAGAGTTATTATGCAAAGAACACTGGTTGTCTTTGAATTAGTATAGTTGGAGGTGAACTCTAGCCGGTTGATGATTTACTAAAAACTAGTTAGAGAGTTAGTATTGCAAGTTAGCATCTCGAGTTAGTTTTCTGGTAGATCATCGATTCGATTAGAGCTTGATATTCCTTCAAAAAGTTGATTTGTATGTAGAAAAATTGTTTCGTTTCCCAGGCATCCTATGCCATTACAAGAGAAGGTTTGCACTACATACTTCATCCTATTCCCCTCCTATTTTCTACGTTCATTGACTTTTATTTTTATTGGGCAACGTAACATTTGTTCTCATCAGTGTGTATCACCTTATCAAGGGGCAGCACTTATAAGGTCATTTTCATATGGCTTTGAATGCCTTGGATTTCCTACCATGAAAAGATCCATCCTTATCTGCCTTGACCCGGCCAGATCTTCCCACATCAGGCTAGCTAGAGCCTAGATCCATGTTAATCGATCTAGCCAAGATCCTATTTCATTAAAATAGGAGGCAAAATCCAGTTACACAAAGCAAGAACTCAAGAAAAGAGCTCAACCAAATACAACAAGATAAGACAAAATGCCTACTACAGTCAAGAACCTTCGAAGAGTCGAAGAGCACCCCTACAGACAAAAGACACAAAACATAGCAAAAAGCAACATAAACTTAAACAGACTTAGGAAATCCGAAGACAAGGGAAAATAGACCTGCTGCATCACTCAAAACCAACCAGCTACGCCACCCGAACAGGACCATGACCACCGAAGAAAAACTGATAACCAAAGGAACATACAGAAAATGGTGGTGGACAAGCCACCCAAACTACAAAGAGCGCTACCATAATCCAAGTAAGGAGTGCAAAAAGCACTTTAGAAGCATCCACAACTCTGGAAGTGCCACCGAAAACCGATGGAAGAGGTAGAAAACAAAAAATCATAATATATGTTTCAAGCTCGAATTCTGTCGTTTCTCCAAGCCTAGGCCAAGTAATAAAACCACACAAATATACCGGCTAAGATTTAATATGCACATAAACAATACAAAACAATATTGATAATTGAGATTAAAAAAGTATTAAGTTCAGTTCAAATATCCTCATTCTCACTTTGAAAAATTAGCACTATACTTGTTTTGAATTTGTCGAAATGACAAATATTAGCCTCATTGGCAGGCGGACTATACTTTTCTTTGAGATGTTGATATTTCTTGGAGTTCTTGAACGCTGTGAGGAAAATGAGCATGCAAAATATTGAAATCATAAGATTACTGGTAAGATTGGCTTGGGCCGGCTCAATTGTATTGTTGAGATTGACCATAAGGCGGACGAGTAGGATTCTGACCTTGAAACGGTTGAGCTTGACCGTGAGGTTGATGATTTTGTTGATGGTATTGTTGAGTTGGCCCTTGTTGAACATTCTGGTTGTCGCTCCATCTGAAATTGGGACAGTTGTGCCACCCAGGGTTATATTCTGATATGGTCCTTTGATTGTTTTGATATGGTCCAACAACGTAGGCTTGCTCCATCATGAAATCATTAAAAGACTGTTGTTCTGCACCTTGAGGACAAGCTTCATTTACATGACTTGGTGTAGTGCAAATGGCACACACATTGGATGATACTTGCATCATTTGTTTCACCAAATTAGTCAAATTAGTAATTTGAGCCTCAAAATGTGAAGATGTACTTACCTCATAAACTTCAGATTTCTTCGGTGGAGACCTTCTATAGTTGAACTGTAGAGAATTATCAGAAACATTCTCAAACGTTTCTCTAGCTTGCTTAGGAGTCTTGTCCATGAGACTGCCTTCTGAAGTTACGTCAATAATCATACGGTCTAAGAAGGCCTTCATAAAAGGTGTGCATTAAGTGCCATTCTGGGATGTTATGATCTGGATAAGAATTTAGAAGTTTTTTGTATCTCTCCCAATACTCATGGAAGGGTTCTCCATCTAATTGTTGAATCTCCAAAATCTCTTTCTTGATTTTTCTTTTTGAATCCCCACAATACTTGTGTAGAGAATTATTAGAAACATTCTCGAACGTTTCTCTAGCTTGCTCAACAGTCTTGTTCATGAGACTACCCCCTGAAGTTGCATCAACAATCATACGGTCTAAATCAAGAAGACCTTCATAAAAGCAGTGCATTAAGAGCCATTCTGGGATGTTATGATTTGGACAGAATTTAGAAGTTTTTTGTATCTCTCCCAATACTCGTGGAAGGGTTCTCCATCTAATTGTTGAATCTCCAAATCTCTTTCTTGATTTTTCTTTTGAATCCCCACAATACTTGTGTAGAGAATTATTAGAAACATTCTCAAACGTTTCTCTAGCTTGCTCAACAGTCTTGTTCATGAGACTGCCTCCTGAAGTTGCGTCAACAATCATACGGTCTAAATAGAGAAGGCCTCCATAAAAGGTGTGCATTAAGTGCCATTCTGAGATGTTATGATCTGGATAAGAATTTAGAAGTTTTTTTAATCTCTCCCAATACTCGTGGAAGGGTTCTCCATCTAATTGTTGAATCTCCAAAATCTCTTTCTTGATTTTTCTTTTTGAGTCCCCACAATACTTGTGTAGAGAATTATTAGAAACATTCTCGAACGTTTCTCTAGCTTGCTCAACAGTCTTGTTCATGAGACTACCTCCTGAAGTTGCATCAACAATCATATGGTCTAAATCAAGAAGGCCTTCATAAAAGCAGTGCATTAAGAGCCATTCTGGGATGTTATGATTTGGACAAGAATTTAGAAGTTTTTTGTATCTCTCCCAATACTCGTGGAAGGGTTCTCCATCTAATTGTTGAATCTCCACAATCTCTTTCCTGATTTTTCTTGTTCTTTGAGATGGAAAGAATTTCTGTAGAAATCTTGAAGCAAGGGTTGCCCAAGTTGTGATAGAGTTGGGTGGCAAGGAATAAAACCACGCCTTTGCTCTATCTTTCAAACTGAAAGGGAAAAGTCTCATTCTTATTTCCTCATCATTCATTACTCCAATTTTCATTATTGAGCAGACTTCAAAGAACTCTTTGATATGCATATGAGGATCATCTTCATGATTGCCGAAGAACTTGGGCAATAAGTGAATCATGTCTGATTTCAACTCAAAGTTGGCCAATGTATTTTCTAAATGAATTATGCATGATGGTTGGACAGTTGCTTGCGGTACAATAAAGTCCCTCAAAAAAGGTTCCAAATTAGCACGCTCAGCCATTATAGTAAAGGTAGAGGCATCTCAACCTTTGATGAATTCGGTCTTGAAGATTTTGGTGATAATGACGGAGGAAGTGGATATGCAAAGCTTCTTAGAGTTGTCGCTTTTGTTCTTCTCTTAACAAATACTCTTGGATGTCAGATAGCCTTACATCATCAGAAAAACTTGAGTTTGGACTGTACACAGGCGAATTAATCATTCAATAAGAAAAGAAATTGCCCAAATTATAATTAGGGAGTTTCACTAAAACACCCAAAATGGAGGTTGAAATTATAAAAAAACCCAACACCCAAAACACTTTATAAACACACCCAAAACTCATCATTACACACACTCAAAACCCATTTATAAACACACCCAAAAAGTTGACTTTGGGGTTGATTTTGGGTGTGTTTCTATGTTTAAATAGTGCTTGGGTTTTTTTATAAATACATGTCTAGGATTGGGTTTATTTATAAATTTGTATTATAATTACTCGCAAGTACATGAATCCCTTAGGTATGGATTTATAAATATGATGTTGATCACATAAGGACTTGATAATTTAAATGCAATTCTAATTTGAACAAGTAAAGAACAATAAATAAAGAAGTAACAACAAACACAAAAAAGGGGGTTCTGGTTTTAGGCTTCTGTAACTAAATTCTCAAGACGAGTATGAAAGGAAATGCAAATTAAGAAGGATTAATAAGCGCAAACAACGAGATGTAAATTAAGGTAACAAATACTAGGGCACTTGGAATCAACCCCTAACCATCCTAAGCCTTAGCTAAGAGGAATAGTTGCTCATACTAAATGTTAGAGTTTGTATAGGAAAATACACTTGCATTTAGTCCCACATTGAAAGGGAGTTTCCTTCCATGGTTTATAAGCACCAACACTTTAGAAATACTAAATAGAGTATGGGCCTAGTGGAGGCAAAGTTGGGCCTCATCATGGTTTGGGCTTGGATTATATATATTTGTGTAATAAATATATATATAATTAATTGTCAAAAGATGGGCCTTAGGGGCTCTTGGGCTCTGTTGATTTAATTAATAATATATTTTTATTAATTAAAAATTCATTTTTTAGATAATACCAAAATCTGAAATTTGAATTAGTTGAACAGTTAACATAACTATTGAATGAAGAGGTGTCAGACCTCTATATATATTGACAATACGTTCAAACAAGAGAAATACCTTTGAATAGCATTATCATTCTCACATTTTTATCACTTCCTGAGAGAATTCATACCACTGTTCGCTAGAAATCAAAGCCACTGTACTTAGACTTTGATTTAAGATAGTTTAATCCTGGTGGACAGACTCCCATTGAACTACAAGCACAAGGGTAGAGGAGAAATACTGTCTAAAGGACACTGCAATTTTGCAGGACTCTATCTACAATTCAAGTCAGTATTCTACAATTTATATTTTTGTTGTATTGATTCAATTTTATTAATATAGAATATATTTCATTTGTTTTTTTTTATTATTATTATTATGTTATTTTGGTTTTATTCTGATTGTTCTCCAACACTAAATACAAATACAACTAGAAACATAATTAAGATAAAGCTTACAGATTTTGGATGAACAAGAAGGCATAAGGGCCTGCAATGGAGGAAGAGCTTCCTCCTTGCTTGCTTCTTCCCTTTCTCCCGTTTCTTAGTCTCTCCCCCTCTTTTCTGGATCGAAATCAGCTACTCTTTCCTTCACGTGAGTGACTTCCCATTCAGTTGTTGCCCTTTGTTTATTCCCATCTTGCTTCATGATTGAGAGACTAAAATAGTTTTTCTTTTACTATAGCAATAGCTGGCCATAGATTTTTCTTGTCTCCTTTTTATCATGGGCTTTGTTTTATATTCATTAAGAAGCTCCCTCTTTTGACTCAGCTGGTATCTCCCTTTCTGTTTGTAGATCTTTGTTGTCAAGTGGTACAATATCAAATAGAACGTGCTGAGACAATGATGATGAGGCACAAAGGGGGGTCACAAGCAGCGTAGTCAATAATTGTTGTTTGAGCAAATTTTGGCATGGGGAACATTCGCGGCTTGATTCAATTTCTAGGTCAACAGACAAAACCCGGGGATTTTGGAATTAGATTTAGAAAATTTTTGAATGCCTTGTGTAGTCATGTATTTTATAGGCTACTTGTATGTTAGGGTTTTGGGAGAATAATCCTTATTTGGTTAGGATTATTCTTATCTAAAAAGATTATAGAAATTAACCCAAGAGATTTGGTGTAAATTAATTCCTTGATTTAGGGAGATATCCTCTATTAAATCAAAGACAATTTCCCTAATTAAATAGGAATACTCCTCTATTTAATTTGGATAATTAGTTGACCTAAGGAATATTTCTTTTTCATGAGTCATCTTCTTATTTGCCAGTTAAATATGTGTTCTTACAATTACTTTCATAAAAGAGTATGATTTAAACTTCTTACCTTTTACATTATTTCTTAACCTTATCACAAAAGAATTGTCAGCTAAAAATTCCATCCTCGCATCTAGTAGCAACTTCTTTTTCTTTCTCAATGATGATTTAGACGACTGATTTGGAGAATCTATAACTTTTACAATTATTTGTAAATCTATAATGGGATAGTAATATCTACAACTTTTACAAATTCGCTGAATGAGGATACTGTGATTTAAGGATAGTCCATTTGCAATATTCAGTTCACATTCTATCCCCAATAGATACATTTTCTTTACACTAATTGTTTGGGCAATAAATTTCCCAAAATCTACAACTTCAAAATTTCTAAACGTTCTATTAATGTTGATGATATGATTGTTTCAGACCTTTATATATATAGTACAGGTACCGAGTTAGTATGCAAAAACACTGGTTCTCTTTGAATTAGTATAGTTGGAGGTAAACTCTAGCCGGTCGATGATTTACCAAAAACTAGTTAGAGAGTTAGTATTACACGTTAGTATCTCAAGTTAGCTTTCTGGTAAATCATCGATTCGATTAGAGCTTGATTCCATTAAAAGGTTTATCTCTATGTTAGCATCCTATGCCATGACAAGAGAAGGTTTGCACTAGCCATCCTATTCCCCTCCTATTTTCTACTTTCATCGACTTTTATTTGTATTGGCTGGGCAACATTTGTTCTCATCATTGTCTCCCACCTTATCAAGGGCAGCGCTTAACTTATAAGGTCATTTTTCACATGGCTTTGAATGCCTATTTCCTACCATGAAAAGGTCCATACATCTGACTTGACCCGACCAGATCTTCCCACTATCAGGCTAGCTAGAGCCTAGATCCATGTTAGCTAGATCGACATAGCCAAGATCTGATTAAATTACCTAAATTCTTCTAGATCTGACCAAGATAGTTACAGTTTCACTTTATATTATCTCAGAAAGCCATGTTCTTCACATGGAGCTGTTTGCATATATAATATTAAGTCGTCATATTATTGATTGTCAGAAAAAAAAATCATAATAGAAACAAATATGAGTTAATTAGGTTTCAATCTATATATTTCATGTTAGATTGTGAGGGGCCAATTTAAGTTCCGAATTCGCACATCATCCTTACAATTTTAGGAGATTGCCCTGTGTGTAAGCATGGGCGGAACTACCCTATGGGGTTTTAAAAAAACCAATATATTAAATATAATCCAAAATGTAATAACTTAGTCAAGTTAAAAAAAGTTTAATTCTTTAAGATTTAGTTGCAAGGTAGCAAAAAAAATAAAATAAGTACACTTTTATTTATGTTGTTGAACATATTTTCATTTTGATATATATGTGTTTTTCGGTTGCATTTAATATGCATTTGTTTTATGTTAAAGCTTATTGGAAATTAGTCAGAGCTATGAATTAACATGGTTTATATTATTTAATATATATTATATTTCTAGAAATAGTATGAAAATGTAAGTACAAAAAAATTATTATTATATTTTAAGCTAATAACTTTAGCTAGCCCACCCTTTAAAAAATTCATGGTTCCGCCTTGTGTGTAAGAACTCATGAAACAACAAAGTGTTCTGTGTAACGTTATAGTATATGATAAGCAAGTAAATCACCATTCAAATTGTCCCTAGGTCTTGGTAATAAGGAATCCAAAATATAATTCTCAACATTAACACAAATGAACTGCATATCTCAAACAAGAAATTAACGAAACAAATACTAAAAAAACAAAGAAAAATACATTGCAAATTAACAAAAACCAAAAACAAAGAGAGATAGATAAATATTGGCTCGGAGCCTTTGGAGCAGAGAAATATATCAAACGCCACAATATTCCTTGATGGAATACAAAGGCCCAAGGGTGGAGACATTCTTTTTAAAATATTGTATATATTCCAACTGATGCAATGCCTTATACTGTAGGGGGTGGTCTTTGTCCACAAGCTCCTTGGGTACGTGTGTTTCTCCGTCTCTATATGAAAATAGTCCAAACGAGTATCGTACATCGTTCTCCCTCAAGGTCACTCGATGCTTACAAGCTCGTACTCTGTCGTTGCTCCAAACCTAGGCCAAGTCATACAAATATTCCGGCTAAGATTTAATATGCATGTTTTAATACCAAATTAACAATATTGATAATTGAGAGTACAAAAAAAGTAAGAATTCAAGCACTACTCATTTTGAATTTATCATCAAAATGCCAAATATTGGCCTCGTTTGGTGGGCAGGAAGACAAGATTATAGGACTCGGTCTAATCCCGTCCTATTTAGAGTCTTGCCCTTGACGAGGAGACTTGTTTTCTCTAATATGTGGACAATTATCCAATTTAATAACGAGTGGAGTACCTCTTTTATTAAGAGCACCAAACATGAGAAGAATATTCCAGTTGTCCGGGATATCAAAGGAAGCCTTAATGTTAATTTTAGGTTGGCTGATTTTGCGAAGCTAAATATTCAAGTTTCATATAATTTATTTTGAAATATCTGTTGCAATTGGAGAATTTAGCCTTTCTCATGTTCGCTCGATCACTTGTCGAGCTTTGTAGGTCTATATTTCTGGCTTCAACACTGGACATGCGTAACATGTGATTTAAAGAAAAATTTAAGTTATTAACATACGCAAGACACATTATATGTAGTTTTTTGTGCCATACCCTGGAATCCATCACCTGCTAGGAATATGAAGGATGAAGGTAGAGGATCAACACTTATCCACTCATTGTCCTTTGAATATATTTCCAGACCTTTGACATGATTTTGATAGAGTGTGGTGCTAAAGGTCTTGTCTGTATGGGCGGGTAGACCCTCATCAATTCCAGTTTTGTCGAATTCTTTGTATTGATTAAATCGGTACGTGTGAACGATTGATTGGATGTGATCATCATGGTACTTCTCTACACCATAGCTTTCGAACACCATTCTTGTCACAACTTGATCTAGCTCTTCCATCACTTTTGCATACAAATCAGCACCCTCACTGCCCAACAAACAACAAATACTCTAAATGTTCAAAATTTAAGTCACACTGCAAAAGGTTGAGCTAAATATGATCATATTTTCAAATGTTTTATGTCAAATTTAGTTCTAAATTATACCGAAATGAATCGTGTCCCTCGGGCCAAAAATGATGTGTGAATTTCCGAGTGTCTTCAGGGTCTGTAGCATAGCCAATTGCCAAGCCTTCACAGGCGGCATTCGGGGTTATGTAGCCACTGGGGTAGGGCTTTTCAAAAGAACTTTGCACTTTGATTTCAGTGGGGAAATCAAACAACTCGCCCAACGTACCAAAGAAGGTGTTGTGAAGCTCCGGAGAAACTTTGCCGGGCAGTATTGCGACGAAACAGCCTAGCTCTTCGAGTGCATGGCAGATGCTTTTGCTTATGGAGAGCCAGGAACTCGTCCCCGGCTTTAAGCAGTCTTCATTGGAGAAATCCACCACTGGAATTTTGGCCACTGTTTGGGTGCCCATGCTTATGTATATCTTTTGAGGGATGCATATACCAAATGAACCAAGATGATATTTATAGAGTAGTTAAAGGCTATGTATTTTCAGATTTTTTTTCATAAATAATTATGTATACATGTCTGATTTGCGTGGCTGATATGCATCGGCAATGAAGATTTTATAAAGAATGAATTTCGAAATTGAATATATATTATAACAATATGTCACTTGGATCTTCTAAAACATGAACAAACAAAAAAAACATCATCATCAAGAGTTTGCATTCATTATTCGATTTCTTTTAACTAGATGTTCTTCATTGAACAAATGTTTATGATTTATAGAAATTTATTAATGAAAACAACTAGCTATCTACTTTTCTTTATATTATATACTTAGCTTAAAAGTTAGGTTCTTGTAATTTAGGGAAATAAGTCTCCATCAATCACAATTTTTTTTTGGTCAGACTCCATCAATCACATTCGTTGTGTGAAAAGCTTACACTATTACAAGTTTTTTAGTGAAATCTGACAAGCTTAAACAAGTCATCATAAATTTTTATGCATGATGAATATAACTAGTTAACTGCTTTCCTTGATTTATATTAATTCTTTGGCCTGACTTACCCAGCTCTATTTCTGCTCACCCAAAATCCTTCGGCCAAGATGGAGCGAGGACAAGGCATGTTGTAATTTTTTAAATATGCGAATGCGGGTGTGAGACATTGTCACCATTTGATGATCTAACGGAATCTAGTCTTTGAATTCAAATTTCATAAACAACAGTTGTAAAATAAATAAAAAATAATTTATTATCTAAAGATTGTTTGGCCGAGCAAGAAACTTGTTGGCCAAGGGCTGTTTACTATGCCTTATTTATAGGCAAAGACTGTACCTTCATAAATAAGTATATGAAACAAACTCTGGTGAGCCCTGAAAACAGAGAAACAAAAACAATGAAAACAATTTGGAACTGCAAGGTAAGACCAATCTCAAAAGCTTCAAAATATATTGATCTTAACAAAGACGAAAATCATAATATTCGGAAGACCATATAAGTATATATAGTGCTGGAAGACGGTACAAGCTAAGGACATTGGTCCCTTTCCTTGCATTGTGCCTTACTCATCTTATATAAGAAGCTTTCAAACATGAAGGTTTTTTTTATAATACTGTAGGTCGAAAAAGAAGCCTACTGCAAAATTAAGGGCAAGAAATTCAAAAAGTTCCGTTGCCGGGAATCGAACCCGGGTCTCCTGGGTGAAAGCCAGATATCCTAACCGCTGGACGACAACGGATTCTTGTTAAGTATATCAGCATTAAAATATAAGTACACATAAACGGAAAATAATCAGAAAATCATATCAAAGTTTTAATAATGTTAGCTACAGCTTCGCACTCAATAATTCTATAATGAGGGCTTATATGTGGCTCAAATAATTCTATAAAGAGGGCTTATATGCGGCTCTTAGGTGAGGTCCTATTTCTTAGCCTCTTGATCAAATTGGTATAAGCCTTCACTATAGAATGACTTGCTTCGCTTGCACTACATAACGTGCCAACAACAAACCCATCCAAATACATAAATCAAACTTCCACTTCCACTTCCATAACCCAATTTTAACATCTGGTGGCTGTGGCTGCTATAAAATTTTTGAATGTTGCGCTTGTGTTACACAAAGAACAGACGGAATTCCAGATCATAAGTAATTTCTGTGCACGGTGAGCAGATCTAATTTTCAAAACAATAAAATGAGAACCTACAATTATTTGATATGATTGATTTTCAGTATAATACACAAACATGTTCAGAAAACCAAATTCATAATTAAATCAACATTTTACATCATGCATACAAAATTGGTAAGCATATCTTCAACTTAGTGTTAGACGCCTTGCTACCACTCAAAGCAATTAAGCAGCAAACTGTCAAATCTTATATCCCCTGTTGCAAATCGGGGAAGCCAAAATAGGTTTATGTTACTACCAAAAAAAAAAATTTAAATTAAATAACAATCAGCTCGTTTCCAAAATCAGTCATTTTTCGAAGATTTCTTTGATGCTTCATTGCTCCTCGCATTTAGTGACTGCAAAAAGATAAGGAAAAACAAAGAAGTTAACATAGATGATAGATGTTCATACGAATTACTCCACAAGAAATTTTTTAAATCAGAAGGGATTGTCATCATGAAAGGACAGAGACATGAATAATAGCATGTGAATTTATGAAGAAAAGCAGCAGGGGCATACCAGAAATTTTGAGTGTCACTGGATCAAAACTCTAATGAAAACTTCTGGATTTTGACAACACTTCTAACAGCCCCTTCAAGTAGTTGCCCTGTGTTCACGTACTATTTACCATGTCTGGCTTCAATACCACTGAGAAGAGAACTATTATTGAAACTGAATTAACAACTCAGGAAGAATGGTAACAACATTTATCTTAACTAAGAGGGCATAGTTGTAATTAAGCCAAATTAAATTTTGAATTAAGATTTATACATTAGTTTTGGTCCCTTTTATCAAAATTAAATCATCATCAGAAGTGAGCTCCTCCACAACTATGTGTATCCAAGAAGTAGCAAATCAAATGTTTCCTCCACTTCCATATCAGCGGAAGTTGAAACTGACTGATCCAACAAACTGATAAAAAGTAACAAAAAAGAAGCTGATACTGGCCACAGACTTTATTAGTGCAAACATACATAGCAATCATAGAATGAATATATTCGCTAACACTGATCTTTCAACCTTCAATTTCAAATTATATGACACCATATATGCTTCAACCTTCAAGAGAGAATAATAAACAGTGCTAAACAGACGAAAGTGGTTTATGCATTGTAGGACAATTTGAAACAATGCATCCATTCTTTGTTACTAGAAACAATCTAATGTTTGAAGGGTAAATAATGACAGCTTCTGAGAACATGGGCCACAGACATCACAGTTTAATCAAACAAATTAATAGATTGAAGTGATTGGAAGATCAACATTACATTTGAGATTGGTCATTACTATCCTTAAGAAAATTATTGCTGAGTGTATAACATATTCAATTAGCAATTCACAGTTCCGACACAAGTAATGTTCTAAATTTTACTAAATTCGCTTTTAGTTTATGAAGAGTGACACTGACACTACAGATATGCTCAGATTCTCATTTAAAATTATTCAAACATAACACTGTCTTCTTTTTATTCCCTAATCCGATCTGAGTATAACCAAGCACCCCAAACTTAAACCATAAACCTTCGTAGGAAACTGACAAAAGCACAGTTTTTATACATAATCTAGAGCAGGAAACATCAAGAAATTGAACATTTATAGCAGGAAATTGCACAAAAATAAGCATTTACCTCTTCTCAAGATTTCTCAAATGCACACTGCACCACTAATTTCTATTCCCAATCACTAGCCTCAAAACGCAAACAAGTGATAAAGAGGACTGGTTTGGCTGATCGTTGGGAATCAGAATAAAATCTACCAACCTCAACCCCCTCATAACTCCTATTTCATTGCAGAGAAAATCTAGAAGCAGAACGGAAAATTGTGGTTCATGATTCCGATTAGCCTTTCTCTGCTATCCCTAATTGAAATTGAAACAAAATGATGTATGATAATCAGAGAGCGGGAGAGAGAGAGGCTAGCTCTCTCTGCAATGGAGAAGCTAGATCTACCTCCCAATATCTCTTGCTCTCTCTCACCCTAACTCTATGTGTCTTGATCTGCAACTTCTAGGATTAATTGAAAACAAACTAATGCATGTGTCATTTATGTGTTAATTCTTAGTGAGAAAGGAAAATAGATAAAGATATTAAATGTTTAACAATAGATCGCTTGCTACAATCTCAGCCTTTTGGTTAGGAATCTAATTAGATCAAAAGTAATTAATGTAGAAACTAGCCAATATGGTAGTTCAATCATGCATTGACTTTATAATCAAACATTACTCCTTTCACTAAAAGGGCACTTTTTGAAGCTAAGTTGAGCCTGATTATCTCAACACACATCTTTATTCCCTTGAAAATAAGCAAATAAGTAAATGGGAAAAACAATATCTCTCAATAATCAGGAAATAAAATGTGCCAATAGCAGATAAATAAATGTGCTATGATTATCACTTTGATTTTCATCCTTTTCTTTCTATTTCTTTTTTAGAGAAGATTCCCGTCCTACAAATACTGACCAGCAAATTTGTTTTTCTTGACTTCAATGGTATTGCCAGCTTCTGAAACTTGACTCTTGGGGCAATATAGTGCATGGCTCACACATAGTACTTAATACAAGCTTCCGACTTATAAAAACTTCTGCATAACCTTTTTCTCAAGTCTTGCAAATACAATGAATTGGGTTTTCCAGATAGTTAGTAGTTACACTGAGTTCATTGTGATTTCAAACAATTTTTATGATGACATTTATCCACAATGACAATTCGAATGCAAATTTTAGGCTCTTTTGCTTTCACAACCAATTGGAGTTTTTCTCTATATTTCTTGCCTATCATCATAAGAATGTGAAAAATATCAAACAAAATGAAAAAGCCAATATGTCCAAACTGAACATGGTCGCAGTTAAACTAACTAATAGTCTCACATCTACCAGATAAGAAAGCCAGCTGATGGACATAACTTATAAAAGGGACTAAAAAACACAATAGTTTTTTTTGGTCTCAAAGTGACTGTATTACCCAATTTACTGATTCAGGATGGACCATGAGGAATTACATGTGAAGGATAGAGAGAAATTTCAGGGAACAATACCTTTTAATTTGTATACAGATCGCATGCCTACAAAAACATCAGCTTTTCTCTTGAATGTACATCTCTCTTACCAACAAAGTAATTGACTATCAGAACATCACTAAATTTGTAGCTGTCCCAACAACAAAAGGCTCCATTAATAACCGAGTCAAGAAGTAAAAAACGACACCCAATGTAATCGATATAGGCAGAGCAGGCAAAGCTCGATGGCACACTGACAACAAAATAAGAGTGCACCCAAGTCCGGAAATAATGGCAAGATAACAGGCATACACAGTCATAAGGTCATACATTGCAGCTCTGCCCACAAGAACACTGTAGAACACGAAATCCCCAAGACCAAGTTTAATACCTTTACTGAACATTTCGCTACCATCCCTCCTCAACTGCTCTCTCTCATTCCCCAGTCCTGTCATTTCAACAAGAGGGGACATTTCCTCATTAATAATCTCAGATGCTCCACTGCTAAATTGCGTAGCTCTATCAGACTGAACAATCACAGTTGAATATCCCGAAGAATCACTGCTTAACGACTGCCTATCCCGTGCATTCTCCTCTGATAGTAACCTCTCCCCTTCATCTCTATTACTATCATGTCCCTCACTCCCGAAACTCCCAAACTCAACCGCACTGTACTCTGAATTACCACGACTTTCATTCTCATTTCGATTCACATTGTCCCTTGTGACTGCCTGAAGCTCAACTGACCCTGAATCCGAAACCCCAGCAACCAAAAGTTCTAATCCGGACCCACGACGCTGAGTATTTCGTGGCACAGTGGGGCGAGCCTCGTAAACCAAAGCGGGGAGCTCCTCATCCCGGCTAGAGGCCAACTCCACCAACAGCTTAAGCGGCCCACCGGGTGCCAGCACAGCCACCAAATCATACACAGCCAGAGCCACAAGCAAAACCCAAGTGGTCCACTCGGGCAACTTGGTAAACCAAGCCGCCACAATAATCCCCAAACAAACCATATAAGCTTGGCGTAGAAAAATGGGTATCCCACCAGAGAACACAGACAACACACCCACAACAGTGAAATTGAAAAGCAGCAAAAAGCAAGTGATGGAGTCAATGGGTATCGAGAAATGCTGGATTATGGACAAGAAAATCGAACCTCCCATGGTGCCGAGGACGAAGAAGGCGGAGAAGCGCATGTAGTTCTTCAAGAAGTTGGTGAAATTGTAGTAGTAGAGAAGGACGAGGAGGAAGGTGACGATGGCGATGAGGACGACGAAGACCAAGGCGTTGAGGAGAGCGCCTTCGAGCTTTTGGGAGGCCGAGTCGGAGGGGCTCTCGAGGTAGACGAGGTTGGCGGCGGTGCGGATCGGGGGAGCGGATGCCGAAAAGGGGTTGGAGGGAGAGAGAGCGTAGACTAAGAGAACTACGAGGAGCATGCAGATGGAGACCGGCGACATGACGCCGATAATCTCAACGCCGATCGACTCTAGGATGCTCGACTCCATGGTTTTGTTTCGTTGGGGACTTTCGTCGAGCACTTGGTAGGTGTCTGTGTCAGGGGATGGTTACCTCATTTTCGTCTGTGCGAGGATTTTTGGGCAATTGGAGGATTTTAGTATCTGAGATTGCCGAAGGGAGAGGGTCAACCACTGTAGCTTTGCTAAATTGACATATTTCGTTATTGGTCTTAATGCTTGTCCAACAAAAATTAGTGATTTTTTACGTTGTTTATTGACATATTATGTTTAAGAACACAATAAATTATAGTGATTATATACATTGTTTAAAAATAAAAGTTGGTTGTGGAGGGCTTATAAATCAAGTCATTAAAACATTTATCCATAAGCCTTGGATTCGATTCCCTCTTCCTCCAATATCACATGTATATCAAAGATAAAAAAGAATAGAAGTTGGTTGATAGAAGAGACTAGTGTGAAATTGCAGCTTCTTTTTTTTTCTTTTTCTTTTCCTCCTGTTATCATGCTCATGTTAAATTGCTATAAACTAGTAAATTACAACGAGTTACTCGAGATTCTGTGTTTAAATTATCTTTTCAACCACAAAGTGTGATGCAGTTGGAAAACTGCCACCTTTAGCTAGCGAACTACCAGTGCCTCAATGACAGGGAGTTCGAAACCCATTGGAAGCACTTGTAGCAAGAGACAAGCCGAACCCCAAGTGGGAATTAACCCCACCTTTTGGGTGTGGGGACACCTCGAGGTATTTACCAAAAAAAAAAAAATTATCTTTCCTCAATATCAGTTATTAAAATAATAAAAATTAAATGAACTGCTGATAAGTGAATGGTTTAATTTAATATAGCCCATTATATTGAACTTAAAACTTATTCAAACAAAGAAAGCACCTCTAGTATACTATGCTCTTTAGGAAATTGATTACCAATGTTGTTTCGAAAAACATTTGAAACTCTCATTAGAGTGGTCGAGGGAAAAGGTAGCACAAACCAGTGTTATAGGCTAGTAGCATAACCAAAATGGCAGCAGTCCATATCCAGTGTTTTCAATTTGCATGGTAACAAGTTTATAAGGTTCACATTTCAATAAGCCGAATGCTATGGTCAGTCGCCCACTACTCCCACCATAATCCAAGGCATTCATGAACTTCTAGGGAATATTCCAGTCATTATACTTGGTCACTAAAACTCGTTCTACTAAATGTGCATCAACGAAATTCAGATAGCAAAATTATTATGTAACTGAAACAACAAAATCCCCAATCACGTTCTTTTTACACCCCTAAAGTCTCTTCCAGCTACATGTGTACCTATGAGGGTTTTATGATTTTTGTCAAGCAAACCAGTAATATTTATACCTATGACAAATACTTCCAAATAAATGCGAAATTATAAATGAAACCTTTACAGATCAGGCTGCAAAATCAAAGAGCAAAGTACAAAGCACGAGCACGCAAAACATTCATGGCAAAGGCTGCATTAACAAGAGCATCCAGACTGAGCTTGCGACTGTGATGCACTGCCGCCCGTAGACTTCAGATTCACATCAACCATGTCTTCTTGCTTTGTTGATGACAGTGTTTCCATTCCTGGTAAAGCTGCAGCAATTTTCCTAAACAGTGCCTGAACAAAGATTCATGAAGAAATCATGCACTTATTAAGTACTGAAAAGTTCAACAGTGAAGACAACACCATCAGATTGGAGGCACCATGGCGATTGACATACTACATACTGAAAATAATCAGAATAGGATGATTGAACACCCAATTTAAGGAGAACTATCCAACTAGATGCTAAAAGGGTCGAATCCACCGCCCAAACATGTTTCTACTTTAATAGAGGATGCCCGGTACCCACGAACAAGGATCATGCCTTAGCATCTGATCCTTTTATATTTTATCCTCATCCAAGAAAATGTAATAAAAATAAAAAGAAAGGTGCATCAGTCATTTCACCCCCTTTTTTTTTCAACAGCTACAACTCTAATGAGAAAGGTGTATCCCAAAACCCTCAAGTGCATTCCATACCTTTTTACTTTCTATTATAGAGATAGGAAATCCAAAAAAAAATTCAAGTTCCTACCTTTATATTAAAACCAGCTTTTGCACTAGTTTCAATGAACATGACATTGAGGTCGCGACCCTTAGCTTCTCCTTCCTCTACAGAGACTTGCCTGTGGAAATTACACATCAAAATATAGTACTGTAAACTTAGTGATCGATACTTTTTAGGGCCTTATTGGGTGGCTCAAAATTAATAATTGAATTTGATACTTTTTAGGGCCTTATTAAAGCATACTGGGCGTCTAAGCATGCAACTAGAAGTTTGGATTAACTTATACTAGTTGGTGGCAAAGTGAATGGATTTGGAGAAACAGCTGGGTAGAGTAGAATCCGTCAAGAAAAGAAGCGAGTGAGCATTAATTGAGTAGTGGGTGAGAAACGTGAATATTGGGAAGCATAATATTTTTCTGTTTATTATTCTACCATCTTAAAATGAATTTGTTTTTTTCAAAAAAAATTGTTTTACCAGATAATATTTTTGGATCACCAAAAGTTATACCAAAACTACAACTTCTCACATTACACAATAGTACAAATGATGCCAAAATCAATAGTTTTCGAAATTGGTTTCATTCGGAATCAGAATTTCCAATCTGCCTGGCGCGGGTAAACTTATTACTAAAATTTATTGAAATTTTAATTATTTACCCATTTTCTTTGAATGCAATACTAAACTTTTTCATGAAAATGTTATCAGCCCTCATACCAAATATAGTACTCGTAATGTTAGCCAATACTCATTGTAAACAAACCATTGGAATGAGAATAGACAGAAAAATGAACAATAAACCAAGCTAGTCCAGAAATCAAATATAAAGAACCTATTGCTAAACATTACCTCTTGTCAACGAGGTCGGTTTTGTTTCCAACCAAAACAATAATAACATCACTTCCCCTCTCAGTGCGCACCTCATCAATCCACTTTGAAGTGTTTAGGAAAGTTTGTCTACCTACACAACAGGTTACTAGAATGGTCAAAAGAAAATGTTTGTAGCATGACAAGAATAAAGGAGTGAAACAAGATTTAAGTCAATAAGAAAAAAATGGCCAAAAAGGTCAATAAGAATAAAAGTTCACATTTTCAACCAATCTAGATCACACGAAAAGCACATATAATAATGAAATTTACAAGCTTTAGTGGACCAAGATGCCGATGGATGATAAGCAGCTACATAAGCCAAGAATTATTCATCATGGACTAAATAAGTGGATTCTAGGTAGATAATCAAGTGGAAGACAAATTACAAACTTGCATACTTGCAACATCGTATACAATTACTGCAACAGAAGAATCCCTAATGTAGCTTGGAATGAGACTTCTAAATCTTTCCTGTCCAGCTGTATCCCTGCCACCATATAAAATAAGAAAGGATCAACCTTCCAAACCAAACTAATGTCTGGGAAAATACTAGAAAGCCAAAATATGAAAACCAATTACGTGTCTGATAATAATGATCATGGTCATTAATGTCCAAAAAGTGAAGGAGACATGAAAACTGATATATGCATAAGCCCGCAACTAATAGTACTACATGTATATTCCCAACAGCAGCTACGTTTACTTTAAATCTCATGTCATATAGCTAACAGCAGCTATGTTAACTCCTTCAAAATTTACAATAAGGTGAGGTCTACTTGAGAGTAAACATGCAAAACCAAGTGGACTCTTCTGATAAGATATGATACTTTCAGCCCTCCATATGTATCATTATGGCAGTGGGAACCTCAATGTTACATTAAATTGCAACCATAACCCAACTGAAGGTACTAACTAACAGTTCAGACCTTGATGGAAAGTTTAAATAGCCAGAAAAGTATTTAGTTTGGGATAATTCATAGATACCTAGACACTAATATTTGTGCATTCAGCACTTCACGTTTGTTAAAAAAACCCACCAACAGACATATCAACAAGATCTATATAAGCATGTAATATATAATTTTAAAAACATAGTCAACCTCCTAGACGAAAAGATGGACATAGTTGGAGTGAGATGCAAAGAAAGAACTAGATAACTAGAGATAGTATGAACTTCACTGTCATCCATGAATGGTTCAGTACAATAAACCATTTAGGTGCAGTCTTACCATAACTGCAGTCGAATAGTTCGATCTTCAAGATACATAGTTTTTGATAAAAAGTCAATACCAATTGTAGCCTGATCATCAAAAAACAAATTAGTATACATTAGACTACAAAGAAGACATTTGGAAACTCAGATAGGTTCAGCTGGTAGCTCATAAAATAAGATATAAAACCGGGAGAGTGGGTACAACAGGAACAAAAGAAATTCAAGATTTACCCCAAAAGAAAAAACTAATCTCTCTCTCCAGCTTCTGGAGTGGATTAAGAGAATGGGGTGCACTATGTTACAAAAATTCTAATAGATCATGTTTAACAGCATTGTACAGGCTAATAGCCAAAACATATCTTGCTTAGGTCTCAACTAATGAAACAACATCTACATCATCAAATGGTGCAGGTTAATTTGAAAATTAGAAAAATTGGTTAGAAAACGATTTTGTGCTGGTGCCTATTCAAGAACCTTCATAAATGTTTCCCAAGAAGGAAAGTGGTCGACAAAGAATTAGGGCTCTAATGGTCTGTACAAGCAATTTAAACGACCAATTCCATTAAAGTAGTTATCCTTATCATCATCAACAAATTTAATCAATAATGGATTCTGTCACTGAAATCAATGTCATGCAACCATCCATAGCCCAAATCTCAAAACAAAAGCAGCAAGAAAAGGACAAAAAACCAGTATATCTTGTGACTGAGGTTACGCCCCTGGACTTGTGGATAATTTACTAATTAGCCATGGATCAGGAGTTATATTTTAGTTTGCACCTAGCATGGGTCGATAGCTGCTTTCCTTTTTGTACATACATGGGTCATGATATTTACTGGCATATAGCAGATCTAATTAATATAAGTTATATATAAGGATTACAACATAGTTGAGAGCAAATAAAAAAGATTACTTTAATCGTGCTCTCAAAAATTCATTCCCTAGTTATTAAGCCATATTGAATTTCATTTCCTCATAGTGATCCATACAAACATCCTGAGCTAATTCGTTTTACAAGCACAATGCTTTTAACAATATCTTTTTTCTATCGATAACTGGATGAATTTCAAAAGCAAAAGGAAGGGAGTGCCTTAGTACAATGTACAAGAAGGTCCAAGGACCAAACCAAAGAGATCAAGAGCAATAGAGAATCATAACAAATAAAGCAAGCAACCATTAGCCTAGTGGGATGTTCCAATCAGCAGCAATGGTGGAATTTGGTTTGAAACCAATGGAGCAAATCCTACTCCTAACAGTATTCAAAGCCAATTTAAGTGTGACAATAGGTGGGCAGGCAAGAGGTGCAACAACAAATGCAGTTTCTTTAACAATATCACCAAAAACAAGGGATGGGTAGTAGTGCAAAATCGCGTCAACAACCTAGCAAAATTTACTCTATTGCCTTATAAATATTTCTTTTGTTTTTCTGAAAACAAAACCCAAAAAATAAATTAAAAAGACCCAAAAATCAAAACAAGTAGATCAACATTCAGCACTGAAGAAAAAGTCATTGGAATTGATCTGAGCTGCAAATTACAAAATTCACATTCAAATGAGCTGGGATTTGATAATATTGTGAAAGTACCTGATAGGTGTTGTCGAATTTGTCGTACATGAAGCGGGTGATGATGCTGGTTTTGCCCACTGATTGGTCCCCTAAGAAAACCAGCTTATATTTTGCCAAAGCTGACACTGGTGCCATTTTTTCCCAGATCAGATACGCAGAGGTGGAGAGGGAAAAAAACTGAATGAATTGAAGGGTAACTCAGCTTAAAAGGGTTTCTGATATTAAAATTTGGTATTGGAGAATTGGAGTGTGGCTTCGCCTGGGTTGTAACTTGTATGCTTGTAATTCTATGTTTTCCGCATCAAATGTTCAAGGACGAAGAAACAACTGGGTTATGTGAAGCCTTTGTATATTTTTTTTATATTTTCGGTTATTGATCGAAATGGTCTCAAAACTATTACTCCAGTATGATTTTGGTCCTTCAACTATTCATTTGGTATCAAAACGGTCCTACCATTGAAGTCTATCAATTTTATTGTTAAATTGAGGGGTAAAAATATTAATATATAATTAAAAATTAAAGAAAACCATTATAAAACTTAGAAAATTTTAAAAAATTGAATATCACTAGCCACATGACTTTTTCTTCTTTTTTTTTTGTGAGATTGACCTAACAATTAAAAAAAATATTCTCTATTGTTTAAATTAACTAAAAAAAATTTAAAATCACATAAATATAAAAATAAAATAACAAATTGTTTAAAAGAGTAAACAATAATTAAAAATTAAAGGAAACTATTATAGGAATTTGTACTTAATTTTAAAATTGAAAATTTTGAATCTCACCACCAACATGGCATTTTTTTGTTGACATGGACTTAAAAAGTAATAATTTTTTTCTCTATTGTTTAAATTAATTAAAAAAAATTAAATCAGATAAATACAAAAATAAATAACAAAAAATTAAAAAAAAAGTAACCCCAAAACAAACAAACAAACCCAGCATTACCCAACTCCACCTCTCTAACCCCGCAATCTTCCCTCACCCCCATCTCCAACCTCGGAACATCCCCCCTCTTAGCCTTCACCCACCATCACCTCACCATTGCCTAGCCGCTCTCACCATGACCTGCACCCTGTGTGTGTGTGTGTGTGTGTGTGTGTGTGTGTGTGTGTACACCAACTCAAATCTGATATGGGGTTGTTTTTGTTGGGTATGGCTTATATTTGAATTGGGTTGGTCTGATTTGCGATGCTCCTTTGGGCTTGAAGTTGCCTATTTTATGCGAGAGATCAAAAGGGTTGGAGAAGGGGGCTGGGTTGAGGATGGAGGAGGCTAAGATGCGGGTTAGAGTCGTAAAAGAGGTTGAGATATGGGTTGAAGTCGTGAGATGGGGAATGAGTTTGGTAATTGTATATGGACGGTTTTACCCCTCAATTTAACAATAAAATTGACAGACTTTGACGGTAGGACAATTTTGATACAAAATAAAGAGTTGAAGGACGGTTCAAATGAAAATTTTAGTTAGTGGACCAAAATGATACTGGAGCAATAGTTGGGGGACCATTTTAGTCATTAACCCTTTTATTTTTATTTTTGATACAAAAAATATTGGGAAGGTGAAATCAAACATAGTACCTCATATGTACCGTGTACGGGTAAATGTTCTTAACCACTTTGAGCTACAAACCTATTTGTACCTAAATCTTTCCCCGGAAGACAATCCAGCCTAAAGCAAAATAGGTGGTTGGGCTTGTAGTCCCAAGACCGTGACTCAGGACCTTAGCCTGGATAACAAGGCTAAGCCTAAGTCATGACTGAGAAAATTATACGGCCCATGGAGTCTCGACCGAGCAAAATTGAACAAGCATCAACTAAAAAAGATTCCCCATGCGTGTTACCTAGATAAACTGACTTCAAGGCAAATGACAAAAGGAATTATGGGACTTCGAACTACTTCTCGGAACTTGAAAAGAAGCATTTATCAAAAAGTAACATCAAGACCAATGATCAAGGTGAAATTCGATAGTGGGACGATAGCTCACGCAAAATTTTGGGCTCTGGCAGAGGTTCTCGAGCGACTCGCCTATAAATAGCAGAGGAAGTTTTTCATTTTATCATCATCAATCTCTCAAAAAAAATCAAGCTGAAACTCTGTTCAATATATTTCTTAAACTAAACTTAGGATAATTTTACGGGTTTCTTAGGACTCAATGTAGGATATTCACCAAGAACTCTTAAGCTTATTCAAAGTTCTTGAGCACCACCCTCGTAATCATTCATCCAATATATCAACAAGACGCTTTGTTCTTCGCAAAGTTTGTTTGAGCACCATCTAAGTCATTTTCTTTCTTAACTCTTTGTTTCATCTTGTCTCAAAGAGGACTTAAGAGATCTCTTGACAGCAAAGCACATCAACACCTGAAACCCAACATGAAGCAAGTAGTCTTGTTGCCAAGACTAAGAACCCAATGGCTAAGAAAACATCCCACACTCGGCTTTGATCGTTTGACCAATTCATGACAAAGTCGCTTAACATCTTTTTTGTTTTCACAACCTTTAACGACCAATAAAAACTCGCACGCCGCACAAAAATCATACCAAGAAGTACGACTGTGTTGCCTATGCTATTTGGTCACGTTTGATTATTTTCCTTGCCGGAATAATTAAATAAGGGGCCAAAACCTTTTCAGGCCCTTGCCCTTAGTATAGCTCTTAAAACACTTTGGTTACAAAAAGAGTGAAAAATTCACTTTACTACTCAAAAATTTAATAAGTTTCAGTTTTTACTATTTAATTATTTTTTTCCTCAATCTGGTACCCAAACATTGATTTGTGTTTGCCTATCATTTTCATACATTCGTTATTCTATAAGCCAACTATTTCATTAACCTATAACTAGGGTTGGACTTGGTCCGGCTAGGCTCGATTTTGAGCCAACGCGAGCAGCAAATCGAAACTCTCGATTAAGTGAATATCAACACTGATGTTGAACCACCACACTGGGAAACTGACAGCTATGAGGCGAGCGGGGAGTTCTCCAGATCTCATCTAGATCGCAACATAAACACAGAGAATAAGAGGAAGAAAAATGGTAGCACGAAGATAGAGAAAGAGAGATATGAACACATAGCTTATCGAATCTTGTTGCAACTGTTACTGTTTGTTCAGGATGCCATCTTTTCTCCCTCTTACCTCATCCTCCTCCTCCCTCATCAACCCCCTCCTCATCTTCCCTCATCACCCTCATACCCCTCTTCTTTTGTCAACCCCTACTCTTCTTCCTCCATTGTTCAGTGCATAATTGTTTATCATATCGTACATTTCCAACTTATGATTTGATTATGTTTTTGAGTTAAACTTGTGCTTTTAATCTCTTTTGTGTTTGTCAATCAGTTAATTGAGCTTTGGGTAGCATTGGTTTCAATAAAAAAAAAAAAAAAAAAAAAAAAAAAAAAAAAAAAAAAAAATGTATGTAAAAAAAAAAAATGGGGGATGGATGGGGTGCAAAGAAAAAAGAGCAAAACTGGACTGAGTTAGCAACTTGTTTCGGACCTAACATCTTCATCCGACCTTAGATTGTCCCAAATGACACGTGGTTAGAAAAGATGACATTATAGACTTCAAGTTGGAGCAGTGGCGAAGCTAGAATTTCATGTGTCTGGGGTCCTCTCACAAAATATAAATAATAAAAATTTCGAACTCACAAGACATCAAAACATCAAAAATAATATTGTCTATATTGTCTATTCATTACAATCATAATTGTCCTTGACGAGTTTTCATATTTTGAAATCGTTACATAACAACCTCGTCATCTATACTATTAAAAATGTCTTTTTCAATATATGCAACCAAGCAATCATTCATCCACAAATCCCTCATTCGATTGCGTAACCGATTCTTCACAATATTCATAGCAGAGAATACTCGATCTACACAAGTTCATAATTGCATTAAAAGGATAAACAATTACGTACTACACAAAAAAAATTACAAATGATAGACAAATACATACTTAGAGTTGAATAACGATTTACCAAATATCTCCAAAGCCTTTTCCCTTTGGTAATCTACACATAAATTGAAAGACCCATTAAAATCAATAGGAAAAAAAAAACTTGATAATATAATTAGAATTTGAGAAGAAAAAAAAACTCATAAGCAACTGGTTGGTTTGGTCGTGTTTCTAACCCACGAAAAGAGAAAAAGGCTTATATTTATTGATTTAAGAAGGCAATATATAATAATACTAATAATTCTAATCCTTTTAGGAATGGGTAGTGTATAATTTTAGAATATTTGGCTGGCCCACGTTGAAATCTAGTAAATCACGCCACTGCTGCAGGTAATTTAATTAAAATCTAATAGACCACGCTACTTTTTGGATAGAATCCTCTTTGGCCCATATCCATATTGCTTCAAACTTCTAATACTAGTACTATTTTTTTTTAAAAATAAAATTTCAGTGGTGGCCAGTGACTACACTGGTCCCTAATTGCCTCCGCCCCTAAGTTGGAGGGTTCAAAGTCATCATTTACTGAAGCACAAAAAAAAACCAATTTTCAAATGCATTGGTGTGTTAAGTGAAGTGTTGTTGGTAGAGGCAAAATTCAATTTAGAATTCTCCTTTCCTTCTCCCTATAAATACCACTTCCATTCCACACTAAAGGAATGAACCACATTCAGGGATACACACTCCCACAATTCATTCATCCTTCATTTCATCCTCTACACTCCCATCATTCATCAAACAACTTTAGAAATCACCCTCAAATACTCCCACAACCTCAAACACTTCAAGAATAAACCAAAAACTCTAAACAATCCTCAAATCAACAAAACTGTCCTAGCAAGCCTTTCTGCTATTTCCTTACGAATTTCCTCTTCCTTAGCCATCACCACTCACCCAAATTCATCACAAATCACCTCTTGAACCTTCATACATTCTTCTATACGTGGACAAACTCTTGGAGAAGCATTGGACACTACAAGAACATCATAAAAGTGTTTTTCTACTCTTATTGTATTCATTATGTTTTGTCAATTCTGTTTATGTTATTTTGGCATTATGAATAGCTAAATCCATATATAAGGTTTCGATGTAACCTAACATGAATATTCTGGGTTTATAAGTTTTAAGTTTTAAGTTCAATTCAAGATTCTGGTTCTTATTCATTATGCTTATAAGTTAATATGCTTGTTTGAATTATTGATCACCATTAAAACTTGTATGTTAGATATCTTGGTTGGAATTAAGAGTAGACACTATATACCTTAATTCGAATTGAACTATAAATAGGAAGAGTATGTATGGACATTCGACAACAGGGATTAGATACATGCTTGGTTGTTTAAAACATTCTTCTATGCTTAATGAATTTCTAATGCTTGATTTAGGTTTAGCTAGAATCAATCTTTGAATCTGAATTAGACTTGTCACTTGAATCATTATAACCCAGGATTAGATTATTATGGTGAATCAAATGCCTTAATGTCCAAATCTGTTTTCCAACCCTTAAGCCCATTCTTTGACACACTTGTTTACTTTGATTTTGTTTGCAATTTTGCTTTGTTTCATTTGTTTTCACAATCACAATCACTCACTTTAAATTCAATTTTAGATTCAACTTCATGTTTTTCTTGAATTGGGTAATCTAAGTATGTAACTAAGTTTAACTTCTCAGTCCTCATGATACGACCTCATTCTTGTCTTACTATACTACTAATTGGCTCGTACAATTGCGAGTTAACAAAATTTTGGTGCCGTTATCGGGGACTGAACGAAAGTTCTTCCTTAGTTACGTGCCCAAGGCTACCATATTCTTTTTAGTGTTTTCTAATGAATTCAATTTTTTTGTTTCAGGTAGTTTACGTCTAAAAGACCATTCCTTGAACAAGTGAGTTCTTTGTTTAGACGTTCTAGATCATTGGAAGGAAGACCAATGTTGCAACCCATCCAGGTGATCTCTGAAATTCAAAATCGACTAGAAAGAGAGTTGTCAATTGCAAAAGAGCAAGCTCTTGCCACATTTACAAGTCTTGCTCTCCACACTTACCTTCCTGGTTCTTCACTTTCAAATTCTGAAGCAAGTTCAGACCAAGAAGAAGAAGAATAGATGGTTTCCAATTAGTACTAGGAGACCTTGATATCCCTACAATTCCAACATCCCCTTCAAGCATTTTGCTGCCCACCGTAGCTCGAAACAATGAGCTTAAATCCTTTCATCTTAATATGTTGACTTCCTTTTATGGTTTACCTAATAGAGATCCATTAACTCATATAAATGATAGTTTTAATGTTGTGAGCTCTTTTCCCTTGACAGGTGTGACGGAAGATCAACTTCGAATGAAAGTGTTTCCATATACTGTAAAGGATAAAGCGAAGTATTAGCTAAATTCTTTGAAGCCAAGTTCACTCAGTTTTTGGGCTGCCATTCAAAAGAAGTTATTGGAAAAATATTTCTCTGTGCAAAAAAATCGACATACTTAGGGACAAGACCTTGTTCTTTGCACAGTAAGATGATGAGTCATCTTGTGACGCATAGGAGAGGTTCAATAGGTTGCTCAATCAATGTCCTCATCATGGGATTCCATTGAAACTTCAAATGCGTATATCTTATATATTTTATAAAGGACTAACCCGTTCTAGTCATAATATTGTAACTAATTTTGCAGGTGGTTCTTATAAAACCAAGACTCTCAAAGAGACGTATGAACTCTTTGAGGGAATAGCAATGGAGACCCAACACATTGATACAAGAGGTAAACGTGTTGTTAGTAATTCTAATGATGCTTCTAGTGTGCAGATTTCAAAATTATGGCAAAAACTAGATGCTCTTCTTTTAATGAACTCAAGAAACCCTCCGAAGGAAGCGTGTACCATCTGTGAAACTCATGACCATGCTATTATAGCTTTTTCACTAGGGGCTGCATATCTAGAATTTGTGCAAGAGCAAGCTAACTTGGTCATTTTATACAACCAAGGTCCAAGAAATGATCCGTACTCTCAAAGTTATAATCCAAGTTGGAGGAATTGTCCAAAATTTTCATGGAGGAATACCCAGAATCAATCCAATCCTCCTTCATTCCAAAGGCCACAAGATGAGGAGATCAAAAATTCCACACGTAGGGGTATTTTAGTCATTTTAGCCAAAAATTCAGAAACGATTTTCTACGCGTTCACTATGTCAAATACTATCGTTCAACCTAAGAATCATAATGGTCTCACTTCAATTCCTTAAATGTCCTTTATAAAATGCACAAAACGTTACACAATGGCATTTTGTCCAAGTCCAACTTAAAATTAACACACTTAATCCAATATTTTCAATCCAAAATCACTTGATAAAATACCCATAATCATTCTTCACCACAATATATATATATTTTTACTGAAATACAAAAATCCACCTTGAATTTTTTCAGGGTATTACATTTGCTTTGTTTCATAGGCCAAAATCAAAACTGGTCCTTCAATGTAAGACACATCCTGCTGGAGAGGCAAGTCATCCCAAGACATCACTTGTTATGCATAAGAAAATCGATGAGTGTGAGAGAGGAGAGATGGGCTAGGAGAGTTAGATTCAGATTCATACAATTAATTTAGATTCTCTTTGAATTGCTTGGTTAGATTCTCTGTGTTTCCTTTCGTCGGGTGCAATAGAGGAGAGAAGAGCTAGGATAGTTTCAGATAATGAATTTTTCAAGGGGAAAAATTGTGAATATTGAAGTATTTATATGGAGGGCAATTTGGTATTTTTCATGTTAGAAAGTGAGTATTTATGATTAAAAGTTTTATAGAGTGACTATTATTGATTAAGGTTTATGTTTAGTGAGTATTTAGGTCAATTTCCCTTTTTAAAAAATCTTTTTAGAAATTTAGACTCGTCTATACTCTCTCTATATGTATATATATTTCATATAATCATTATAGAAACTCATTCAAACTTGATCCTTCCCTGTATAGGCAAAAGATGAAAAAGTGAGGCATTCAACCTATAAAATGCCATTGGTTAACAAAATTTCTAATATATAACAATTTAATATAAGAAACTAATATTTTAATTAAAAAATTTTAAAATAAACATATGGATTTGAAAATTAGACCTAAAAATATCGAGTTATTTACACTAACACTTCTTGAGATTTTTAGTGCTCTCACAATACTCTTAAGGTTTCAAAAATTGCAAGAACACCTTTGAGGTTTCAAATTGTTTCTACAAAATCCCTTTCCGTTGATTATTTATCCAAAAATTGATGATTTTATAATGTATAAAAATTATACAAATGAGAAAATTAATCACAATAAATGTATGTGCAATCTAATCTCAAAGGTAGCTTTGTTAATTTGAATTATATAAAATCATCTATCTTTAGATGAGAAATCAATAAAAATAAGTTTTAGGAAAACAATTTAAACCTCAAGTCATGTTTGTCAACCTCAAAGGGTTTTGTGAAAAAACTGAAACATAACGAGGATTTAACTCTAAAATATCCGACTTCCGCATGTTTGATAAGTTCGTAGGACAAATTATAAATACCAGAACTTAAAGGGTCACAATTCTGACCAAAAGAAAAAAAGGGTCACAACTAGAGTCAAAATAAAAGAAGAGACTGCAGGTCTGCACTGCACATAGACGGAGGGTTTAAACCAAGGTTTTGGCTCCTAGTTGTCTTCAACCTCTGTTGCACTGCTCCTTGCTCCGAAACGACGACGTTAAGCTGTTGAAGTTCAGAATAAACTATTCAAGTGAGCTCTCAAATTTCTCTTTCTCTCTATCAATATGTTTTATTCAATGACTGCTATTGCTCTGTAGTTAGTTGATGAAAATCAAACCCAGAAAATGACCTAAACCCTTTAAGGTCCCAATCCCAAAATGCATCGCCACCTTTCCATTTTCACCCACAAACTTCTCAAAAATTCCAATTCTATCCTCAACACCACCACCAAGCACACCACCACCACCAAGCACACCACCACCTTCTTCCCCTGCTCCCATTTCAACCCCTCAAATCCTAGGGCCGGTGGGTTCGCCTTTTTTCGCTTTCTTTCATACTCTCCGGTGAGCCGGCGGCCACCTGATCCTGAAGACCCCTCCAACTTGATCAAAGATGATGGGGTTTCGGTTATATCCCAAATGTGGATTGAGAATTTTCGAGAACCTGATAGGATTGCCACCAATTTGTCCTCTTATCTTCGGCGGTTGGAGTTGTGGGTATTGGCGTACCAGAAGGTTTGTGCTGATGAGATGGGTGCGTATATGCCCCGCAGTGCAATACAGAGGGCAGCTCTTGAGGACTTGTTAGCACTTCGTAATGCTGTTCTTGACAGTAGGTTTAGGTGGGGGGCTAGACTAGAATTCTATATAAAATCACCCAAGGATAAGATCGATTACCAGTCGTTGTCAAAGAGGAAAATTAAGGCCATCTTGACGACCACACAGCCAACCCCATTTCAAGATAGGTTAGTTCAGGAAGTGCTGCTTATGATTTTGGAGCCGATATATGAGTCTCGGTTCTCGCAAAAGTCATTTGCGTTTAGGCCTGGGAGAACTGCACATACTGCATTGAGGGTGATTAGGAGGAGTTTCGCAGGGTACTTGTGGTATATAAAGGGCGATTTGAGTACCATCTTGGATGGGACGAAGGTGGGGTTGGTGATAAATGCTTTGATCAGGGATGTGAGGGATAAGAAGGTGATTGATTTGTTGAAGGCGGCCTTGGTTACACCGGTGATCACAACAAAGGATGATGGGGTGGAGAAAAAGAAAAAGAAGAGGAAATATCAGAAGAAGAGGGTCTTGGCAGAGGATGAACCCAAGCCAGACCCATATTGGTTGGAGACCTTTTTTGGGTTTGCACCTGAGGAGGCAGAGAAGCTTCCTTCTTGGGGTCATTGTGGGATACTTAGTCCCCTTTTGGCTAATGTTTGTCTAGATGAGTTGGACCGCTGGATGGAGGGGAAGATCAAGGACTTTTATCATCCGTCAAAGAGTGATGTCATATGGAATAGCCCGGAAGGTGAAGCAGAACAGGGAAATACATCTTGGCCTGAATTTGTGCCAACAAGTGGCCCAGATAAGACCAGAAAGATGGATTACATACGATATGGTGGTCATATTTTGATTGGTGTCCGAGGACCTCGAGCAGATGCCGCTACATTGAGAAAACAGTTGATTGAGTTTTGTGATCAGAAGTATATGCTCAAGCTTGATAATGAGAGCCTCCCTATAGAACACATAACAAAGGGTATAATGTTTCTAGATCATGTGTTGTGTCGCAGAGTTGTGTACCCAACGCTTCGTTACACTGCTACTGGTGGGAAAATCATTAGTGAGAAGGGCGTAGGCACTCTTTTGTCAGTTACAGCAAGCTTGAAACAGTGCATCAAGCAATTTAGGAAGTTGAGCTTTCTGAAGGGGGATAGGGATCCAGACCCACAGCCTTGTTTCAGAATGTTTCATGCCACCCAAGCTCATACTAATGCACAAATGAACAAGTTTCTGTCCACAATGGTTGAGTGGTATAAGTATGCAGATAATCGGAAAAAAATTGTGAACTTTTGCTCTTACATATTAAGGGGCTCACTTGCAAAGCTCTATGCAGCAAAATACAAGCTCCGTTCACGTGCAAAGGTGTACAAGATAGGTTCTAGGAATTTGAGTCGTCCTTTGAAGGAGAAGAAGGGGCAGTCATCTGAGTACCATAATTTGTTGAGGATGGGTCTTGTTGAGTCAATTGATGGGCTTCAGTATACCAGGATGTCTCTTGTACCTGAGACTGATTACAGCCCTTTCCCAAATAACTGGAGACCCGATCATGAGAAGGCATTGCTCGAATATATAAGGCTTGATGATCCAAAAACTATAGAGGAGCAGCGTAGTTGCATCATGGATCAAGGTCTTGTTTCGCCTCAGGATTACATTTCAATGCTTGTTTGGAACTACAAAAGGAATGCTGTCATGATGGATCAACTTTCCTTTGTCAATAGTGGTAGCATTAATACTGAAAGAGATCAATTATTGCTGCTGGGGTCGAACCAGGATAAACTTGAGCACAGGACTAAAGAAGAAGAGGAAAAATGGTGAACAGTTTAGTGCATCACAAATGTAAAAATTTTACTGGCACAGTATTTTGCTGAAGTTATTCATTTGGCACGTCATTATGATGGCTTTTTACTGGCACACATGCTGGCAAGTTATAGAAATGTTAGCTGTATGTTGTCAACAAGGCAATGATATTTGGTTAGTTATATTCTTTCTGATCTATTTTGCTTTTGTGGACAGCAAATTTTTTTTAATTATCGAAATTTTTTCATTTTTCAATTTTCAATAATCTGTTAGACAAGCATGTATCATATCTTACATTATTTCCAATGTTGGAGTTGTAGTTGTTTACATAATGGACCAACAATCCACCGACCCAAAAAAAAGGACCTACAATCCTCACCTTGTTGTTAAGAAATGAAAGGGATAAAGTACAGCTACGAACACCTTTTGAAACTGGAAGTACCCTGCTTGATTTTTATTTTTATTTTTTATAAATATAATTACAAATCATCATTAATTGTAAAAATCTAGATTCCCATTTTCTTTTGTTAGTGTTTTCGTTTAAAATCCTTTTTAGAACCAAATGAAATTGTCTTTTAAAGTTGTATTGCCTATAAAAATTGCAAAGATGTTTTATAGTTGTATATGCATATCGTTGATGTTGTCAAGGAGCAAACTAGTTTAGGGTAATTCCAAAATCTGGCAAAAATCATGTTATTTTGTCCAGGAAGTTATGAGATATTTTTTAAATGGCCTTTTGATTTCATGCAACAGAGCGCGCAGTCTTGTTATACATCCCCTCTCACATGCCGAGTCACAGGCAGCACCTTGGTAAGTGAAAGCACGGACGAGCCACATGCAGTTATTAGGAGAACTTTTTATAGACATTTAATCTGACTGGTGTCCACAGCAAAGGATGTTCTGCTTTGGGGCTCATCTGTTGTCTGGTGAAAACCTAAATAAAGAAAAGGTTTTGAGATTTCTGTGCTTTGTTCTATTTTATCCTTACCTCTGGCTGAGATTTTTTTTTTTTTTTTTTTTTTTTTTTTTTTTTTTTTTTTTTTTTTTTTTTTTGGGATGGGTGGGGTCAATTCAAAATTTTTTTGGTGGTTGTTGTTTGTTAGTTACATCTGAATTTGTATAAAAACACTTAGCATGTTGCAGGATTGTACGTTTAGCAATCCTTTGGGGGTGAATATGTAGAAAGGTAGCATTTATATAATTTTTGTGAGTGAGAGGGGCTGTTGTTAGTCCAAAGCTGTAAGCTTTTGCTCAGATAACGTTGGTGTCATTGTATCTCCATGTACAGCTTAATCATGAAAATTAACACTATCATTACTGTTTTTGAAGTCTGTTTTCTGATTGTCTGGTACTTTCTATGCCCGAAATTGGCTTAACAATTCCAGGCCCCTTTTCAGCTTATCCATGTAATGTTATTTTACTGATGTTTTGCTAAGGTTATATGTTTCTCTGATCATAGTTTATCTTATCTTTGTTTGCACAAGAATTGTTCTCTGTCTTCACGATTCTTGGATTTCATATCATCACTTGTCATTACTGAATTAATGATCTCTGCTCTGGTTAATGGAGTAGCTGTTATTACCAGACCAATTGGTAAAGAGATGTGCTTACTTGTGGCCCATGACTGTTGGTGCTGCCAATGCTATAGACTGAGTGTCGATGTCAGGGGCCTCTCTGTCTCTGTTTACTTGGTCATTTTAGGAATTGCAGGGTTTCCTCAAATAATATTACTTGCTGGATTGTTTCCTTGTTGAGGGCACACAAGTATTTGAGCTAGATTATCCTTTCATTATTTAGTTAAATACTCATTTATGTTGAAGTTTGATTCCTATCTGTCCTAGTCCAGATAGATAATGCCCTCTTTCTGCAATTGCTTTGGAGTTCACCTTTTCCTAATCACATGAAGTAGTAATTGTGCAATTGCTTCTCATCTGGTTGTTCACTTTATTCGAGGACAGAAATTCACAGATGGACTGATCAAGAAGTAAAATTGTTCTCACTCAATGCAGTGCTCGATGCAGCTTTGGAGAAGTGAATCAGAAACCCAACAGTAAGGCAGTGGCTTGACGAGCTTAAAGATGCACTCTATGCAGCAGGGGGCTGGATGAGATGAAGACTGAAGCTCTGCTCACCCATTGTGGGCATGGTGGGATCGGAAAGACGCCCTTAACTTTTATAAAATGATCTTAGAGTAAACTAGCATTTTGATGTATTTCTGAAGAATATCATAATTATACAAACAAACAAAAAAAAATATGATTACATCACTTCGCAAACTTGTGGTATTGGGGAACTAGATTCACTTCTCGGAGGTATTTTGGTTTGCGTGAAAATGATCCATTAAGGGAAACATTTATCACCCTTTTTTTTCTTTCTGTGCACAAGTATGCATCAATGTGGAATTGGAACAGCGGATGGTGTTGTCTTGTGATCCCCTGTACTTGGGTACTAGGGAAGTCACATGGATGCCAAGCCACTGATCAAACCATCTACTACTTTACAGGACAATTACAACATGGGAGCTTGACATTTGAGAGGAAACTGCATTGAAGCTTCGCAGCACATAGGCCCTACTGGTATATCTCTAGTAGAAAATTCGATTTGTCCCCATATAAATTAAATTACTCATACGATAAAGCATAGGCCCTACTGGTCATGACCTTTCAGACAAGTCTTTTTCATGTCAAAAAATTTGTCATGTGGCCATGTTAGTTTGCTGAATGATGAATGGTTAGATTCACAAATCTTGAAGGGAAAAGAAAAGTTACAGTTGATTTTGCAGAGAAATATTGCTGTTAATTGGATCTCTAGGGTCATATCACAGAGTTACAAATTCTGTTCTTTTGGCACATTCTCCCTGTCCCTGTTATATTGACAGGGAAATTGGATCATATTTTTCTTCAGCTGCAAACAATCATATATGCAAAGAAAATTCAAATAATTGCAGAGCAGCAGCTCTTATTCAACAAGGGACATTGATAATCAACACAAAGACTAATTAAGTTGCAGAGCATCTTGTCAAGAATGTAGACCCTGAGTACTTAAGCAAGTGGCTTATGCATAGTGCAATATCACATAATTGAAAAAGATTGTAATTCTCATTTTTCAATGGAGACACTTCACCTTCCTTCTCCTTAAACCCTTCTTCACATGTAGTTGGTGCTTCCATAACTGCACTCACCCAGATATTCGCCGTGTTGTAATCCCCCCTCAGAAATGCTCCAACAGCATCTCTCAGTGTTGTGATGGCGTCCGAATATAGCTGCAAGCAGTCCTTCAAGCAAACCAGAGCAAAAGGATCGAAACTTTTGTTACTCAACAACTTCTCTATGGTGGACAGTGTGTTGGTTGCATTTTCTAGTGCTAGCTCCATTGCTATCAATGCTAGTCCTTGAAGATTAGTCACATGGCTAACAGGCACAGCTTGGAGAGAGGTTGCGCAAACCTTGTAGCTAATGACGTTGAATTCATCTGCGCATTTTTTGCAGGTTTGGTCGATTATATCAACAGATGTTGCAGCAATGGTGGAAAATTTTGAATGAGGAATTACAAGGAAAAATAAGCAGCAGCAGATTAAAAGAAAGAAATGTGATACATTTTTCTTCCCTTTGGTTTTCTTGCTGGTAGATAGCAAGTGAGATAGGTCATGGTTCTAAATATGAATTTTGCTATGCAAGGGGACTTTTAGAGGAAGCTTCCTAGAATGTAACATATATTGCCTTTTTTTTTAAAAAAAAATTCTTCTTGTGCTAAATTTTTCTATACTATGGTTTGAGAAAAAAGACATGTTACGCAAGCATAAATCCGGGATGAGCCCAAATAAGATGGTATCTTTTTATCTTTTATTTTTTATTTTTTCTAATTGGGCTGGCAAATTTGGTCATCACTACTTTGAATAAAAACTCAAACACCACCCCACCCCCCCAAATTACGTTGTAATAAAAAAATAAAAATAAATTTGGAGAACAAATTGACTCACTATCGCTTATAGGAATGGTATGCAATAATTTAAAATGAAAAATTGAATCCCTCTTCTTCAATATCGCTTATATATATGAAAAAATTTCACGAATACAACAACATTAAAAATTCTGCCTATAAATAGACATCCGAAAATGCATTGAATATGATATTGTGAAGAGTCCGAGAAATTAAAAGTGTACAAAAACATGAAAGACAATACATATCTTCACTACAAAGACACATCAACATACGACTCCTTAATTTTCTTCATTTGATCCCTATTTCTAAAGGCAATCATTTGATATCACCCAGTAATTTCATTATACCCTTTTCTAACTATAATCAGATAACTGCAAGCCAACAAACACCTATATCTCTGGACCAATACGATTAGAATCTGAAATGAAGAAATATTACAATTCTAGGAACATCTAAAGTGTGCAACAGAGTTCATGCGCAGGTTTAACCTTAAATTTGAGTAGCCCTTCAACCATATACATCTGCTTAAAGCTCAGAAAGGCAATTCCGAGTTATCACAGATGACACCTACCATACAAGTAAACAAAGAAGAAAGTACAAACCACTTAGTATGCTGAACGTTACAAGTTCATCAATTAGCTTTTTGAAAGCAATATGAAGTCTTGATAAAATGTTTCTCAAGCTTCATCCAAAACCCAGTTACATTTTTTCTCATCAACAGCCAAGACAGAGCACTGCAAATGTCAAAATCCTAATTTGTACTGTAAAATAAATTTAGGAATCAAAGAGCAATACTTTTACAAGAAGCCCAAAAGAATTGTAAGATGTATATATACAATCTGGATACTGGAGTAAATTCAAATGCAAAACTAAGCTAATGAATGAAAAAGTTGGAGTTTGCAGTATCAATCCTTACAAAAGACATTCTGGCTGGCAAAGACAGGCTGAAAAATAATGACCAAGCTAATCTTTTAAGTCCTCGATCCATGACCAACGCCTACTGCACATACAACCTAATCCACCAGCTCCATTCTCAGCACAGAGTCACCACACATCCCTTCAACTCTTAAATGCCTTTCTAAAACTCAGCGTCTTCTTGTAAGAGAACTATTGTGCATGTCAAGCAACCTTTCAAGGGATACAAGAGACCAGCTTTCCTCTGTTTGGGCATATACCTTTTGATTTAGAGAGTCAACTATTATGCTTACATTGCCAAAGCCATATATCTGGTGACCATTATGCATCCGCCCAGGTTTAGGCCTAAATAGCAGACCATGCTGCTGCGCATGGGCTTCGATAACATCTTTCAAGCTCATCTCATTACCAATGCCATCCATGTGAGCAGGGCCACCCAAGTTTGCTTGTGCTGCTGCTGCTTTCTGTTGTGCCTCAAATTGCCTTTGCTCAAGCACCCTAAGGTAGCTAATATTCTCCTTCAAACCAGGTTGGATCACTTCCATACCCTCAACAGCCCGATTCATCATATCAAGACCACAATTAAGCTGATACCGGATACTTTCATTTGCATGAAGCTCCTCAGGAATGAGTTCCTTCCAACCTTTATACCAATTCAAAACCTCTTCAAAATTAGGGTTCGAACATAACCAGTGATACAAAACCTGTAGCCACTTGGTGAAGAAAAACTTCCCCATCATATCTACCATTAGATGAATTGGAATAGCAGAAGCCCAACTCATCACCCAATTAAATTGATCAAGTCTCTGATTTACAGGGTTTACTTGGAAGTCTTGTAGGACAAGCTGCAACTTGGGTACTATAAATCTATGCATGAGCTGTTCCCAACTGGTTGAATCAAACACCTTCTTCCACGGCGAGAGTATAGCATAGGCAGAGGCATCACTGGGGTCCCATGCATTGAGAACATTACTCAACTTGAAGTGTATTGTGAGATACAACTCCTACAACTTGTGTCCCAAGAGTGGTAGCCATGGATGCACCCACACATGGATGGGAACAATGTCACGGTGAGGTTCCCACAAGTCAACTGCGTCCTTCAATTTGGGAAAGACTACCATATCCAATATGGCATGAAGGACGGAAGAGGGTATCAATTTCTCCTAATACTCCAAAAAGCGAAGCATGGGTTCAGGGTCCTTGGCTTGCCATGCATTGACGCCAGCAATCCTCACTGCGGGTACCACAACCTCGGAAACCAACTGGGTATAAGGCGACATTGTATTATCAAAGATATCAAGGTACTGTTCTCTCTCCCCCTCTCCATGAAGCAAATGCTTCCATGAGGATACCACATTCAATCCATGCGTAAGGTTCCTAAGAGGATCCGAACCTTGAAACATCCTGATAAACAGAGGCAGAGCAAAAGAACACGAAATGCACGACAAGTTACATATTTTATAGTCGTCAGCGTATCTCTTTTGCAGGTCACCAAAGCCCTTTGCCAGTAACTCCAGCGTCAATGTTCCCATGACATTCACTTCTCCCAGTCGGTCTAACACACTCATAATATCCTCCAAGCTATCCAAGTGTTGCTTATGTCTGGCCACCTTCGTTGCCAGCCTCTCTTTCTCCTGGTTCAAGCTGATCGCTGTGTCCCTCTCATTCCTCAGATCCCTATCAATCTTCTGGATATCGAGCTCAGCTAAGTACAGAATCAACCTCAAGTTATGCTGTAGCTCAGGCATGGGAACATCCTCTTCCCTGGCTTTCTCTTCGGCATTCAAATTCTCCAAATTGGTCAAGACTCGAACCTGGGGTCCACGCATATCAACTACCTTGTGCACAAAGACCTCAGTACTCTCTTCCTGCTTCTTGGCTAACAACTCCTTGGCAGAGACATACTGATCCTTGTTAGCCCTGTTGGCCACGGCCTTTTTCCAGGAAAGCCTCTTTTTGGTGGTGTTGGTGGCATTGGCAGTGGGCAAAGGCTTGTTTGGCTTTTCAGCTTCCAATTCTTGCACGCTAGACCGCTTGATTTCAGTCTCTTTGTAATCATTAAAACCCATACCCATATTTTTTGGCCTCAACTTAGCTTCAATAGGACCGAGAATCCCTTGCTCGTTCTTGCCAAGTCCACCTCCTTTGTAGCCCATGTTCTTAAGCATCTTCATCCCAATGCCCTTGGTGTGTTTCTCGAAGGCCCCAGGTCCCCATCCCCGTCTCCTCCCCTTGCTCCTCATAGTCCAAACTGAGATTCCTCAGAATCTCTACGACTTTGAGATTGACTACTAGTCTGCTTGAGCAATTTGAGCTTTTCCCTCTCCTTTTGTCTCCTCTCTGCTCCCTCCTTTATTTTCTTCCCAAACGCCATTGGCAGAAAATTCGTGTCGTTTTCCTCATCCTCCTCTCCCCCAGTGGGATCTAAATTCGAATTATTCAAAGCCAAACCGGAATTCAAATTATTAAAACCCAAACCTGAACCCATAGCGGCACCAAAGCCAAGGCCACTAGTGCCAACGCCGCAAGCACCAAGGTCATCATTTTGCTGCTTTAAATTTTTGTCCATCTCCTGGTTGGGCAAGACGATGCCGGTGGAGACAAAATTGACGGGCTTGGTGAGGTCGACCTTTTGGTCTTTCCTGCGTTTTCTGGAGCCCTCATTGTCTTCATCATCGTTGGAATCAGCAGAGAATATGCCATAGAGTACATCATCTTTGGTCTGGATGCGCTTATCCTTGCGCTTGCGATAATAGAACTCGCTGCCAAGCCATTGACTGTCCTCATAATCCTTCTCCATGCCAAACCTTTCCATTTCTTGATAATCATCCATCAGGCTACCCTAAACAAACAAAACAAACAAAGGGAAAAACAAGATATTGTAAGAGAGCAACAATTACCCGCCCAATACACACACATTAACAAAAAAAATCATGAAACTCTGAATATTTGCCATATCATAGTGCTTAGAATTCCTGCACAAATTGATATGTGAAGGATTTCAGAAACACTTCAAGCACGCTAATGCAAATATGTCTAATATGATAGGAGAGCTGTAAGATGCAACTCAGCCCCATCGGACAGAAAACATATGCAGATATACAAACTATATAAACTACTAACCATATGCAAATATGTCTCTATTGAATCCATTCCACTTTCTAGAAAAAACGAAAGATGAAAACTGTAAGATGCAATTCAAATTGTCCTTATGTACAAAGCTACATAATAAATGACTAATAAATGCATGTCTCTAATATATTTAGTTTATAGTATGATTGACAGTCAGAGTACTAAAACAATGCCATATAACAATGGAGCTGATGCACATATGATTGAAATTCATATGTGCAGATGTGCCATCATTTACTGAACCTTCACATGCAGACAATGCAAGTACAGAGGAGATCAAGAGCCAAAACACCAAACATTGAGCAAACAACCTTTTAGAATAATATTCTGTCTCAACACCAGAGAAAGGTCCCCAAGAGACGAGCAAACACAACCAGAAACTTCTAACAAAACCCTTGAAGAAGATATGGTATGGTCGTATAAATTTCTAAGTAACCAAAGCTACCCATGATGTAAATCCCCTAAATTAACAGAGCAGAATAAAAATAAATCTTATCATGGGCAATTCAGTGACTATGGAAACTACCCAATATAGAAAACCAACAGCAACAACAATTGATAGTTAAAACCCTAGAAATTAAAGAGAAAGAGGGAAGAACGAAATTGAAATGAAAAAAACAAAACATAATATGCCCTCTTACCTGAGTCTTGTGGCTTCTCAGGAATCCGCTTCAATTGATTCAACAAGAAAAAAAAAATTAAAGGAAGAATGGAAGACGAGGAGAAGAGCGAGCTCTGTGAAGAGATGGCGCGGGAAGTGGAATGGAGAGCGTGAAAGAAAACATATTGGGGTATTTTCGGAAGTTTGTAAATTTCATTGAACCCCACAGAGCCCAGCGCCTCCTCAACGGCTATTGCCTATTTGCTCTCTCTCTCTCTCTCTCTCTCTCTCACAGCTCTTATTCACAATAATTTTTTTTTCTCTTACCAAACAGGCACTAAATAGTCTATCTCTGAAACGACGTCGCAGCCAAACATGGGCACCGACGACGACGCCTTCACCTTCCTCAAATTCAACACTCAAGGCGCCGAGGACGACCGTAGTGGAGGAGTCGGGTCGGGTCACCAGTCAGATGCGCCACCCGTTTGGGCTGACCCAGGAAGCGGCCCGAATCCCCAGGCAGCTGGGGCGTGCGGCAGCGGCGGCGGTAATAATAATCAGGTGGTTGAGGCCCTAGCGGCTAGGATTAGTGTGCTCAACTCTGAGGATTTTAGGGAACAGGCGTGCAATTTTCTGGTAATTTTTCTGTGGTTTTTTTATATTTTTATTTTTATTTTTTATATCTCCTTGTAGTTTTTGTAAGTGCGGGTTTAATGGTGAGTTGAAAATCATGGATGCCAATGCCATAGTAGGGAAATATATGTGTGTAATGCAGAATTTCGTATTGAGTCTCATTAGACTTTATTCATGAATTCATATATGGTTGGCAACTTGGCAACTTGTCATTGTTCATGAAACAAATCATAATCTTTTCTGTTTGCTGAAAATCAAATCCTACACTTCGGGCTTGTTTGGGAGTAATCACTTACGCATATAATCCCTTTAAAACCACTTAAATAGGAGAAGTGATTATCTATAAAAGTGATTTTGGCCTATCCAGAATCACTCCCAAACGAATACAACCAAATTCACACAAGTTTTAAAATATATTAAAGGGAACATCTAATTGCGTCCAAACATGGGTTCAGTAAGTTTCAATCAAATAGGTTGAAACATGAAAACTGTTTCTGTGTAAAAAAAAGGTTTTGTTTTGTTTTCTGGGTTGTTGTTTTTAACATCTTGTTTTCTCCAATTTTCGTTTTGAACTCATACGGCTGTGTTTTAGATGGGGCAAGGGGAGATATGTGCTTGTGGATCCTGTCTGACTCTGAATAGATTTGAGGCTGCTAATGATGAAAAGATTGTTGGTGATACTGATGAGTCTGCATCCAAGCTGCAAGTAAATAATGTTTCAGGATGTTTTCTATATAGGTCTGAAGTTGAACTTTTGGGCTCTTTTTTAGGTCTTGCATATCCAAAGCACATTGGAATCATGAGATGGGCATGGCAGAGGTCATTGTTCTTGAGGGTACAAATTGGAAGAACACAGGAGTTATCCAGAGCGGCAACAAGCTCTATTGCTCTATTTATGAAGTTTTGTAAGTGAAACATATACTCAATTGTGATTCTTGCACTCATAGTGTTTGTGATTTAGATTGCAAAATTTTAAAATCTCAAACTTCTTGTAAGATATGGATAGACTTAACAGTAAAGAATTCGAATTAATAAATTTTGATTCACTATCTTACCATCCACGCATCCAAGCTTTTTCCCCTCAATTAGCCTTAAGTTTTGAATCTTCTGTTTGTAGCTGAAGGTTTTGCTTTTCAAAGAATGCATGGCCTATTAGTTGTTCTATTTGTTGTTCATTACTTCATTATCAATAATTTAAATATAAAAATGTCTGGTACTTGCATGAACAAGTTTGTGTGGAGCTCCACAAAAACTCTATTATGAAGTCAATTTTAATGTGAGCTAAAATTGGTGTGCACTACAAACAAAACTTGAATTGTAAAATAATTGATGTTTTGTATAAAAGCAAAGTCTGATAGTATTCATCATCATGAAATTTTCCTCTTTCTTATCAAGTGGAGATGAAATTGTTCATTAACATTAACAATTGTATTGAAGGTTTTTAGTTGAAAAGGGGCATTTGCGTCTCTTGGATGATAGTGGTACTAGCACTTCCTTGGAGGATATATTTATGAAGATTTCAGATGAAAATAATAGGTGGTATTGGGAGGAATTTCAAGCGTATAGGAAACTCAAATCCCTTGGGTACATTGTTGGGCAGTATGGTATCCCCTGGTCTACAATTGGCGTGAAGAGTAAGTGTGAATTTGTTTCTTCTCAAGGTTGTCCTAAAATTGATGAGGCGGTGGACTTCGAAACCAATGACACTAGTTCTTCCAATGGATTGTTCAATGAGATGCAGAGTAATGAAGCAAGACCGGTTTTTGATGTTTATGCCCCAAACAAAAACTTCAAGAAGTCTTCTCCTGGAGATCCATGTTTTGTGCTTTGTTTTACTAGGTATTTATATTTTGTGAATTCTGAGAATTTAACTAAATTTATTTTATTTGTAATTAGTTGTGATTTTTCTTTCTTTAATTATCAACTCTAAATTTTCTTGATTAGGTCTCGTCCGCCATCCAAACTAGACCTTGAAGCTCTCGAGAGACAATGTGGGAGCATTCCTTTAAAGTTTTGTCATGTGGATTATGGATCAGCAAGTTTCTTCTCCTTTGACAAGGTGGAACTTCCTACCCTTCCTTGACATGTAGAGTTGATCTTTTGTATTTAGGGTTAGTTGCAACAAGAAGACATGAACGAGACATGCTTTTGTAATTTCAAATTACTTGAAGCGAAATTTTTCCCATTGCTGTCATGTGAAATTTGTTCAAAACAGAATCGCCATTTGGCGACACGAGCTATTTGTCTTCAATTTACATTGAGCCCGTTATGAATGGACAAGTTTCTCAACAATGGGTTACACGTCTCTTTCAACTTGTTCATCTGTCTAGGGTTGGAGTGATAATTCGATAGAGATGTGCATAAATTAGCCAAAAATGTTTGTTCAAACTGTTTATTCGAATCATTTCTGATATGAGGAGGTGGGAATATTTTGGCTAATTAAACATAAATGGACCGTATTGAACATCAATCTAAGCGTACGAGTTACAAACAACGTTGGTTGGAAATTGGCAAATCTATTGTTATGAGGAGGAGGATAAGGTACGGTGGATAGGGGAAGACTTTTGTGGCTTATTTCTTTTCTCCATAAGCTCATGATCTCATGTTCAGAATATTATATCTTTTTCGATGAAAGAAAATCTACATATTCATCTATCGCCATACAGAGTTGTACTTTCCAGCAGATTGTGACGTATTGCTTTAGCATGGCCATGGTGTGACTTGGCAGCCGATCCGCATGCATAATGCATTGGTTGGAATGTAAAAACAAAAAAGAAATTAGAACTCTTGTAGCCAACCGCATGAGATAATGAACAATAACATGTTCGACCTATTACATAACTTAATTAATTGAACGATGGATGTTAGAAGAGGTTCTAAGTTTGAATATCCCTTCACTAACGATTAAAAAAAGTAATCGGAACAGGAAGAGCTTATTTAAGATCGGAAGAAAATCTGATGACACACTTTATCTTAAGCCACAAGCTCTTCTTGATCGTCAATTCGGAAGCGAAGGGAAGAAAGTTTTGGTCCATTGGAAATGGTTGTCTCCTGCTGAACCTGTGCTTTGGCAATTATTTAGGCTGTTAAGTTAATATTATTGTTGGGTTGTTGAGATATTTTAGCTTCATCTTGTTTATCTTCTTTGCAACTTGGACCAGCCATGATGATAAGGTTGTTCCTGTTTCAGTTTCAGTGAATTAAGCATTGAATTGTGAAGGTGAGAGTCTTCTCAATTAGCCTTGCTTAGTAATTATTTTCCTTAATTGAACAGATTTTATCAAACCTTCCGCTACTCACCATAGGTTCTAAGAAACAAAAAGCCAAAGCTCCTCAAAACGTACCAAAATCACTAGATCAAGAGTTGGTTGGTCTCTGAACTTTTGTTACCTAATCTAACCGGCGTTGCGTTTGATTTGCACACTACATCATTACGTTGAAAAATCCCGCTGATTTGATGATGTGCATACAATATCATGTTAGTTGGGAAAACAAATTGTCATTATCAAAAGCACTTGCAATTTACAAACACAGCGTAAAAAATCAGATTATATATTAGCACACATATATATATATACAAAGAACAATTACTGGCTGCCGAGCTTATTGGCTTATTTGTTGTGGAAATATATATACTGCTTAGTTAAGGCTAAAGAACGTCTATATTGAAGCCAAAGTGTTGATAAAAGCAAGAGAAATGGCGTTCAGTTGAAAGAAAACATCATTCTCCTTTCTCAATGGAGACACTTCACCTTTCTTCTCCTTGAAGCCATCTTCACATGTAGAAGAAGCATCCATTGCAGAACTCACTTCTATATTGGCCTTAGCAAAATCCTTGGACTGAAAAGCACAAAGAGCTTCTTGTAGGGTAGGAATGGCGTCGGTGTAGAGCTCGGAGCAGCCTCGCAAGCATTCCTTTGCAAATTTGTCAAATGCTTTGTCCTTCAAAAGCTTTGAAATGGTGGAGTTGATGTTTGTGGCATTGGCTACGGTGAGGTTGAGTGAGATGACGACTAGTTCTTGAAGGTCTAAGCTATGTCCTTTGGCGTTGGCCTCAAGGCTTGAAACACAAAACTTGTAGCTCAAATTTGGATCTCCTTGTGAAGCCTTCTTGCAAGAGAGTTGGATGAGATCATTAGAACCCATAATTGTGCTATGAAACAGAACCAGAAAAGTGATGATAATCTTGGAAAATGAAGAGAAACGCCTCATTTTTTTTCCTTCCTTTCTTTTCACAAAAAGGGCCTTTTGAGAAACTAATGAATACGAGAGTAACTTTATAGAGGGAGCCTTGTTTATATATACATACATGCGAGCGCGCTACACCACAACTTATTTGAGTGTTCGGTTCAAATTCATAATTTGACAACGTTACATGTCAAACAAAATCACATAATTCTTAATATTCAAGATTTGATAACATGTAAAGTAACATTCTCTTGCCAAATCAATGGTAAAGAAAATATATTCCAATTAAATTTCATAATTAACAGTTTAACAACGTAGCCGATAGAATAGGAGATTTGTAACAAATTATTATTCTAGATATTAATTTGAATGGAATTTGTCGAGGAATCTTTATATGATGATGGGTCTTTATAGAAAGTGAAATGAGACATGCTGTTCTTTTGTTTTCTGTTTTGATATGGTTTTTGGTTGTGAAGATACGTGACTTGACTGCTATATTATAATTAGCAAGTGAGCGTCGACACGCAAAAGGATCAAGGATGGATGCATGTGAATTTATTTAGTGGGAAAAGCAAAGAAAAAGAAAAGAAGATGATCATAGTGTGACTTTTGAAGATGATAAAGAGAGGTAGCGGTGTTTGTGATAATAATTCCATGGGATTTTAATATTCAATAACAGGCTGGCTTCATCAAACTCGCTTTACCTGGTGGCACAAAATTATTATCTTTCCACTTAGAGAGAAATTAATTATATATACGAAGTGATTACGGAACAAATTTTGGATTCTCCAATAAATATCGTATCAATCACATTCATAATTAACAAGGTCTTTATTATTGGTTAGAAGAAGGCCGTGCGTGACTAATGAATTATACTATTGATGACCTTATTGTAACCAATGCTTTGTGTTAATTTTTAGATCAAAAAAAGTGAGCGGGGAGCCAAAAAGGCTAAGAAGTTCAAATTTTTTAATTGAGGTACCATTACATGAATGTTGGTTTCAAAATTGTCCAAAATATTACAAATACATTAGAAAAATATAGTTTGAGGGGCCAACGCAATCATGCCTATATGTGGCTCCGTCCTTGCTTGAAGTTTTCTCACGTGGTGTGTTTAGCCCCCGTATCTATTACACTTTTGGCCATATGTAAAAAAATAAAATAAAAATTGCTCAATTTGTTTGAACTTTGGAATTTCTACACATATAAACAGAGACAAAACTTGAATTGCGACACCACTTAAGCACAAAAAATGCCAAACTTAAACTGAATTGAGTCATGCAGCACCACTTAAGCACAAAAGTGCTATTTTGTGTTGAACTTGAAAGGGAATGAAGAGTCTCACAAAGAAAAGTTTGAGCCAAACCAACCCAATATGACAAAAATGAGTGAAATTGGTGGCCTTTTTTTCCCTTCACTATTGTCCAACTCTCCGACATTTAGGCTGGCCTGGTTTTGATCTTTCTTTGGACTGATGTTTAAAAGGTTGTGCACCATGCGTTGGCTAATGCTTTTTAGTTTTTTTTTTTTTTTTTTAATTTTTTTTTTATATTATATAATTTTTTTTTATAACGTTCCACTATAAATAAGTATGGCTTGTTATGTTATAGTTAATCAATAATTGTTATTTTTTTTATAGAGAAAAGTTAAACATTATCAATTGTGTGGTTATGTTTATTACAAAATAACAATCATAATTAATATTTAATAAAATTTTAATCATCTTTAGTAATAGTGATTAAAAAAAATGTATTTTTGTTTTAGTTAGAATCAAATTTTGGCAAAATTATTGTCTTGAGAAAATCCTTTTGTGAAAGTTTGATTTCAATAATATCTCTTCATGATCGTGAACCAGCTATGAACTATGAATTTGGTTTTTGTAAATATGCATTTAGGGCCCATTTGGTTTAAACCTAAGACCACTGATTTATAAATTAAGGCCATTTTTCATTAAGCTAGACCCCGTTGACGCCTCATAATCTTCTAATTCTATTAAGTTACAATCCATCCCGAAATTTAGAAATGAATATCTTTGACATGTTTCTTTAGTGTTGGTGCTCAATTTCGCTCAACTAATATGGTCAAAAAGTCAACGCAAGTCCAAGTGTGTAGGTGTATTTGAGATCATTTCAGCCTTCCTTTTTTTTTCTTCCACCAAATCAAAGTGGCGGAGTTGGGCTTCTACTTAGGCCCAGTTTGGGATTGCTATCACTTTTAAAAATAAAAAAAAATTATTTTTGCTGTACTTTGAAAATAATTAGCTATAAAGTAAAGTAACTTCATGTTTGGTAAACAATATTTTTAAAGTGTTGTTAGTACAAAAAGTAGTGTCAAAATCGTTTGGTAAATTTTAACATAAAACTATTGTAACTATGAATAATTACTAAAATAGACATGATGTTGAAGTGTTATGTGCTAATCATGTGGTGGTGAAAGAGGTGAAGGTGAAGGTGGTGGTGGTGATGAAGGTGGAGTTGGTGGTGGTGAGGATGGCGGTTGTGAAGGTGGAGGTGGTGGTGGCAATGGTAGCGTGGTGGTGGTGTTGGTTGTGGAGGTGTGTGGATGTGGAGGTGGTGGTAGTGGTGGAGTTGGATGTGGAAGTGGAGGTGATATCATTTTTTAAAGTAAATGATGATATTTTGGGAATTAAAAAAATTCATTAAAGGCTCATTTATGCTTCTTTTGAAAGCAGCTTTGAAAAACAACTCACAGTCTACTACTTTAAAAGCTACTGTCAAAAGGCCACTGCTTTTAAAATAATTGGAATATTTTATTTTTACCAAACACCTTAAACTGTTTAACTTTAAAGTGAAGCAGGTTTTTGGCCAAAAGAGCAATCACAAACGGAGCCTTAGTGAGTACCCCACATAATAGAAATAAAAGGTCATCTGAAAATGGCATAGGTCTGATACCGGCCTACCACTCTCCGATATCTTATTCAAATTATTAGTTAAGAACTGAATAGTACAAGGGCTTTAAGTAGGTGAAGTTAGGGTTTCCCCAATGAGGGTCTCTAAAAAGGACTCAACCACCATGGGGCCTATATATAATCCCAATGCAAAAAAGGCAACACTAATGGGACGCATTTGGGTCTCTAAATTCTAGAGCCCAACCGGAGCTTGCCCTATATATAAAGATCCTGATAGAGTCATAGAGACAAAGTGGGCCCCAATTGCTGCCAAATGTTGACCAATGTGATCCCTTTTTTTCTCTCCTCAATTAAATGTACGTGCGGCCCACTAATGCACAAAATGAATATATAAAAAACTTGATATCTATGCAATACAATACAATATATGCAATAAATAATACCTATAGAGCCCCTCATTTTGAGAAAGACATCTTTCGAGTCTAGAATATTCCATCAAAACTCTAAATAGGTATCTATCAACCATTTTTAGTCCCGATTGTGGGAAATATACATTTAGTATACTTTTAAAGCACGAGTACAACAGTGCTTTTATATAGACCCGGCAATATCGAACACGATTTGTTAACACGACACAAATTCGCATGAAAATAACAATATTTGGGTTGAGCTTAATAGGTCGGGTTGAAAACGAGTGGACCTGTTAGCCACCCGTTAAGCTAACAGATCGTGTCAGTATCATTCACAAATCACCCGTTAACCCGTTAAGAGTAAGGGCATTTTTGTAATTTTTCATTCTAAAATAACCTAGCTTTTGTTATTCCCTCTCCCTCACACCGCCACTCACTCTCTCTGTCTTTCTCTCAAGAGATTTGAACAAAAGCTCTCTCTTTCTCTCTAGATCCAAACCAAACAATCCACGACTTTTCCTCTTCTCCAACCAAAAGGTATGAAAATCTCATATCATTTGGTATTTTGCTGAAGATCCATTCCACTTTGATTTTTCTCTTGATTTCTTTGTTGATTTCCTCGACTTGAAGGTCCAGACTTTCATGTGAAGATAACATTTGAACTTGTTTTTGGAAGTTTCTTAACCATGTTTGCTGGGTTTTTTTTTCCTTACAATGAGATTGCACATTTGGTGAAAATTGCAATTTTGTGATTATGTTCATGGAGGATTGAAGTTTTGAGATTATGTTCATGGAGGAGGCGCTAGACTTATTCCTTTTCTCCTTAACATTTTATTTAAAACTTGTTTAAATTGAGATTAATTTGAAACTCACATTGTCTAAGAGTTTTTTTGTTTGCCAATGTGTAATGTGTAAAACTTATTTAAGGATTTCAGCTTTATTTTTATTATTTCTCTAATTTAAGGTGTTATCATTTAATAATTTGTTAAAAAATATTGTTTATTTTTTAAATGGGTGAAAGCGGGTGAAAAACGACCCATTAGCCATAATGGGTCGTGTCGTGTTGTTCACAAATTTGTGCGGGTCGTGTTCGGGTCTAATATTTCTGACCCATTAACTTAACGGGTCGTGTTTGTGTCAGCCTGTTAAGAAAATGAGTTGATAGGAACACGACCCGTAACTTTCAAAAACGACCCGTTTGCCAGGTCTACTTTTATAGGGGTGATTCTTTCCTTTTTTGGTTTTCTTCGATGTAGGATTAGTGGCGTATATTAGGGGTGGGTATGAGTTAGGTTGGGTCGGTTTTAATCTCAACCCATAACCCAACTCGATGTATAGCGGTTTATGATTTCTTGGACCCAAGACTTGTTCATTATTAGGCCAACCCAACCAAAACTTTTTGTGATCTAATTGGGCGATTCAGTTGGATTAATTCAAAATTAAGCTTATTTTTAAGTTTTAGTTCAAACCCATAACCCAATCTGTACATAGCGGGTTATGATTTTAAACCCAAGACTTGTTCATTTTTAAGCCAACCGAACCCACTATGATTGGGTTGGGTGGTTCTGTTGGGTTGACCTGAAATTATGCCCACCCCTAGCGTATATATGTTGACATGCTATTTCAAGGTGGGTGGCTAGTACTAAGTCGCTCGGTTTATAGGGTTTGCTCATTTCTTGGGCTATGCCCAAGTCGGTTAAGACCTTTGGTTGTTTGTTCCTTGGGCTTGTTAGCCTAGTATTTGTGCCGGTCCATCTTGTGGGCTCTCTTTACTTAAATTTTATCCCTTTTTTTGGGCTTTTTACTTTAAGAGGTTCTTGGACTCATTTAGTTGACCTTAAGAAAGCTAGGTATCATCATAAGGGATTTGTCATTTTAAATACTTAAAGATGATCTCTTTTTTTTTTTTTTTTTGAAAAAAGATGATCTCCTTAAGGTACAACAATATCAAATTTCATTGTCCAATATTTCAATGAAATGAATAAATAACAAAGAATTGAGCATTTAGGTTTTGGCTTTGGTCTTTACAATTGCACATTTTTAAGCTACAAGTGTGAAAACCTAAGCAACATAAAATGACAGAAAAAGAAGTTACCTTTCATGCTAAACCCTAATGTGGCTTGTAAGATCCATAGGACTTGTGCTAATGTGGCTATCACAAATTTAAAGTGATATAATTAAGTAATTATTCATTTATTTTGTACGTCATAAACACTTTAGTGTCGCCGTTTGGTCTAATTAAACAAGAAAAAGACAAATTATAAAAAATACGAGAATTGCATGGTCTACCACACAGGGACAGATCATTCCCTTGGCAATCAACAAGTGTCTTTTGTCGTTGCAACGTGGCTTTGCACAAGAAGATAGAATAAAAACACATAAACGTAGCTGCCTAAAATTAAACACATAAAAGCATATATATATATATATATATATATAAATCCTTGTTCTTGGCAAATTCCAGAGCAGAGAATCATCATAGAGAGAGAGAGAGAGAGAGAGAGAGAGAGAGAGAGAGAGAGAGAGAGATGTCGGCCGCTTCCCAAATAGATCCACATAACGAGATGAGAGCCAGAGATGTGAACAAGGTGGCAAGAGGAGAGCAAGCTCCTAGGCCTGCTCATGAATACGGCTCCATCAATTCAGCCCCTCCTAAACCCAAACCTAAGGACCCTGCTGCAGCCGAAATCAAGGTCTCTCTTTCTCCTCCTTAATTTCTTCATATATTTATACATGTGCATGCATCCGGTGATTATCTTCGATCGTCCGCGTAAGAGAATATGTATATATATATATGAGAAAAATGATGTAATTAAGTAGCAAAACAGAAAAACTACAAGACATATATCATGAGTCATGACCGATCATTGATTTTAAAAGATGCTTCCGCGATTAGGTGCCTAAAATTTTTGTTATAATTTGTGCCTGAAGTTTCGTTTGGAGTGATAATTAATAGTGCTACACTATTGCGAATGTGACGACATATATTTCTTTAAAACATGTTTAAGGATGTTGATAATCTGCAGGTTGAAGATGACCCACCTGCGAGGCATTGCTATGCAAGTTACGTACAGTACTACAAGTGAGTAAAATAACCCTATCACTACATATCTTGATCATATTCACTCATGTTGTTCTTATCCCAAGTTATTACTAGTAATTAACCTCTGCACATGGCGCTAAATAATTGAATCTTCACTTAGCCAATGGGTATAGCTCAATTGGTTGAGCTCTAGCTTCCCACTCAATTGGTTGAGCTCTAGCTTCCCACTTATGTAGGCCGAGGTTAAATACCCCAGACACCCAATGAATATTTGTCTAAACCCCCTCCCTAATCGCTTTTACATACTCAAAATAAATAAATAAATAAATCTTGACTTTGTCATCTACTAGTGGAATCTTGCAAATATGGTTACTAATAATTAAGTGATCATGTTGACCTCCAAAATCTCTTCGGGTCCATTATTTCGGTAGTCTAAACAGATCAATGAACAACTTGAAAAAAATGTGATTGGGATTGGGATCGCTTGCCCCTCGGTTCTTTGGCTGCTCATTTGGTGGCCGACTTTGCCTCTAAATCTTGTGTTTCATGTGTGATTGGGATTTACTTGCCTCCTCCTTGGCTGCTCCCAACACTTGAAGAAGATGTAAAACGTAATGAATTTCCATTACCATTCCAGGAAAAACAAATCATATATATATATATATATATGTGTGTGTGAACAACTTATTTTAATTTAGTGGTTGTCATGGGCTTCTAGCTCAAGTGGTTAAGAGCATTTACCCTTGCATGAGAGGTCCCAAGTTCGATTTCTCCCTCTCTCAATATCGCTTGTATTATAAAAATAAAAATAAAATGCAACGTGGTGGTAGCTACCCTTTCAGATCTCTAATGGTTTATAGAATGTCAATTCAGGTGTATCAAGGAGGAGGGCAAGGTACCTAAATGCGAGAGGTTTGAAAAGAATTACAGGTTGTTATGTCCTGTTGAATGGGTAAATAATTCTAAACCTAAATTTACATATATATTGTCTTTTATTTTTCCGTGGGAATCTCTTTGCATTCTTACAATTTGATATTGCCTTGCCTTCTCGGTTGGTTGCATTGCAGATTGAGAGGTGGGATGAAGAGCAAAAGCTTGGAGTGTTTGCTGGCCCAATTTAGACTTAAGATCATAATTTTGGATATTGCATATGTACCCTACTCTTTGTAATTATATGAAAACTAACTTAAAACAATATTAGGTCGATCAGAAAATAGTCAACTTTATTTATTTATTATTTCTAAAGAGATTTAGACTATCTGCTACGATCTACTGAATTTTGAAGGGAAGGACAATCTAAA